CTTTCAAAAGATGCAATGCGGACAATGAGTTTTTCGGTTGTTGTCATAACCTGTTTCCTCTACTTTTAGTCGAAATTCTCTTGTTTCAGTACTACTGGTCAAATGTAGATTTGAAGAAAAGACTCTTCTGTATTTATAAGTGTTGTAGAGTGACATTAAGCTGGTAGTAAATGAACCTCTATTGTATATATTGGGTTGGCACATAAGTTTTGCAACTTATTTCGTAACTTTTCTCTTTTTGGATGTGACGCATTCATTTTCAAGCATTATTTAGAATTGATGGTAGGTTACAAACCTGCGCAGACAGTTTGATTTTTGGTTTCGAGCTGAAGAAAATTTGCTCACTTTTCGGAAGCCGGTCAAAAGCGAAATTTCGAGGGTCGGAAAACCAAAAATAAAGCCGTATTCAGTCTGACTCAAACATATCGAGCCGAAACTATGCCCAGATTATTGATAGAAAAAACTTTAATCATCTACACAGTTTCAGCTTGATTTCTTTGATACAGACTGAGAACGGCTTCATTTATGGTTTTCCGACCCATGAAATTTTGGATTCGACCAGTTTCCGAAAAATGAGTAAATTTTCTCCATTTCGCTACCGAAAACCAAACTATTTGAGCAGGTTTGTAGCCTAGTATCTAATCTACACTATGCCCAAAAATGAGTGTCTCGCAGTCAAAAAGAGAAAAGTTACGAGATAAGTTGCAAAACTTATGTGCCAACCTATTATATATCTCTTGTGTTGTTTACAACCATCCTTAAAAGGCTATATAAGAGCTTCCTTCTGCGGTAACATTATTCTTCATTCTTTCATTCCTCCATTCCTCGCTTCTGTCATTGTATCAGTCGCCAATAAAACACTGCTACTATTCGTGTCCCGGATCCACAGAAAGATAGAAGACCACAACAATAAGTATGGACTTTAGCTAAAGAGTCATGCATATCGAGAGCGATGTGATTGGAATAAGACCTATGGAGCAGAAAAGATTACACTCTTGTATTGGACATAGTTGAGGCTAGCATAGGTATATGATGCTCATTTTTTTAGATGCGCAAAAATGAAGAACCAGGTCGGAAGACGAGTGGAACCGCAATCAAAGCTACTTACAGTCGAGATTTTCCGCTTAAGATAGTGTGCTTGCACAGAAGGTGAAATGCGGTAAAATTTGCTCGAGAGGGAATAGCTTCAACTGTGACGCCGGTCATTTCGCGCGCAAAATGACGGCAGTGCTGGCGCAGCTATCATCGGCTCCACGATTCGTGTAGAGGCGGGGTTTTGCCAACTCAAAGCGTGGCGGTTTTTGATAGCGAGAGAGTACAAAAAACAATGCTATGACGTGGAGGTTTAACAAGTTTACCTGTGTTATCAGGCAAAGTCTGCAATACACCTCTACACGAATCGTGGAGACGATCATACCTGTTCACGCGCAAATTTTACCGCATTTCATAAAACTAGAACTTGGGAACCTTTTCTTGCCAGAATTATGACACGGATTTTCAGACATTTAACGAACCCAGGGCGAAGCGGCGCTTTGGACTGGCGTTCATCTTATATATAAAGCTGAATATCTGTTTGTCTGTCTGTCTGTCTGTCTGTATGTATGTCTGTCTGTACGTATGTTCCGAATAGAAAATTCCATTTCTGAACCGATCGGGACCAAACTTGGCACACATACACACATACACTTCGGGCCCCGGCGGGTGTCATAGACTACTGCGGCTCGGGCATCAATTGGCCTCATCGACGGAAGTCCGCGCGCAGGGCCATTGCGTGCATGCGTAGTTCTCATGCAGAAGGGAGTAATTAACATTGACTGTGCAAGACTGCGAAGCTTTCTAAACTATGTACTAATCGCACTTTCTAGGAACATTGAAAAAATTGCCGCTACTGCTTACCTCGCATTTTCAATGAAGCATTATGATAAGTTGCGTACTTCACATTTAGAGTCAGCAACTCTAATTAGCCCAGTGTGAGAGTCTCTAGGTTGTTTGTTTCCTTTCTGAGGTGAAATATGGTCTTTATGGTATGGTTCTTTCATGGCTTGAAACCCTCTTCAAAGTTCCTGCCGTAATCCTATACTAATGGGGAGCGGTTGGTATTCCGCTACATACCGTAAATTTAAGCTGAAGCCAGCTCTACAAATAGTACCTGAAGCTTCTCGAGACTTCATTACGGGAGAGTTATCAGTAACAATCAAACAATCGGCACATCTTTTTGCTACACTTTGTATTTCGCCAGCTTTATATGATTTACTTTTTTGTCTGTTGTAAGTTACATATGGTGAGACTGCTTCCCTCATGCGACATGAGGTTCCAGATGTTCACTTTGTATCTTCGTTTTACACAGAAGAAGCGCACGTATCCAGTTTAACGCCTCCAGTTTTCCAGATTTGCGTTTTTTCAGCGTCGTGTTGGAAAGATGCTAATGTTTATAAGGCTTCCTTTAAAGGTTCGTTTCTGTTGTAGAAGATATACATTTATTTATTTATTTATTACATGGGGAGATCCCATGTCTCACATAACAAACCAAGAACATCAAATACAATACATTTGTTCTGTATGCTAATGTTTCACTTTTAGGGCTTTGCCAGCCAACAATAGTAGGTATCCTCGGAATACTATGGCACCCAAGGATGAACAAGAAGGGTAGGGCCTCTCCTTTTTTTACCTTTTGTCACAACGCTGCGAGAATCGTGTTGTGGCTAGTGAACCAGTACTTGAAGGTGCTATTAACATGCGTGCGCTTCGGACCGCGCCGCGGTTTCCCGCTATGTGCACATTTTTGAACTGAGCTAACGATTCTTTATATATTAGAGACTCGGAAACTCAAGACTCAAGGCTTTGCAGACAATGTTTAAACAAGATTTGTTCTTCGCTGTTTTCATGTTGCTACTAATCATAGATGATGCATATTACAAGTGACTTTGCCAATTACACAATAAACTTGTAAAACACACAATCAAGCTTTTTTAATGTATCATCGACTCCCAGATTCGTGCGTAGGCGGGTTGCACACTTCCCCAAATAAGGATAAGCTTGTTAAACCTCCACGTTCATTGTATTTTGTACTCTTTCGTCAAGTTCATCCTTATAATAAGGGAAAGTCCGCAACCCGCTTCCACACGAATCTGAGAGCCGATCATATGCATATCGATCTTGAGTAACCTAGTCATAGGATAGAAGGTAGTCGAAAGTAATAGTAATCTGTAAAAAAAATTTCCATCAGCACTAATGGAGAATGAAAATATATGAATTTCTTTTGGAATCCGTTTCGTTCCTCCCCTTCTTGATTTGAGTCTTCTTTGGGATTCAGTGTATGGCATCGGCCAACTTCACTCAGAAGCGCGGAAAAGTGCCCAAAGCCCAGAAGGGACCCAAGACCCCCTTTGATTTCTCTTCACTGTCTCACGGGTAGGGGACTATCTGCAACAAATACACATATCATCTATTCTACGACAAGGAGACGCGTGACCGCGTTGCGGACATTGTCTTAACATGTTTGAATCTGTTCTTCCCCGTTTTCAAAGAATGAATAAACGTGGACGAGTTAAATGACAAGTATAAACCTGCTATGTACACGATTAAGCTTGTTTAGACAATGTGTGCAAAGCGGTCTCGCGTCTCCTAGTCCTAGAATAAATGATATCAATACACGCGCTGAGTATCTGCTGCATTGTCCGTCGGGACCCTCCCACTTGCAGCGACATACACAGAGTGTCCCAAAAAATGTACCTACTGTTTGATTATGAATAACTCTCTTGTAATGAAGTGTTTCGAGATTAGAGTGCTTTAGGTACCATTTTGTAGAGCGAGGTTGAACTTAGATTCACAGAAAGGAGCGAAACTCCGATCGCTTTTCATTACTGTAGGATTATGGTAAGAACTTCCAGCATATGAAACCATTGTGAAGTATAGGGCTTATCAAACGTAGTGTCGCTTGCATCAGCATCTCCACCTCCCGCGCTGGACTCAGCGTCTCTTCCGCGAACATGCTCTTTAATCACTTCCAATCGATTGAGGCTCCGCCTTTCCCACGCTTGCACTGGGAAAGTGATCAGAGAGTATGTTCGCGGAAGAGATGCAGAGTCCAGCGCGGGAGAGGAGATGCTGATGCAAGCGACGCTGCGTTTGATAAGTCCTATAAACCACCTAACAATTTTTTTTCAAAAAATCTGAAGATTCGTGTACTAAGGTTTTCGCGCATGCTGACACTACACAACTTTTTACGGGTGTTTTTTGGCTTTTTGACGGTGTAATTACATTTCTGACAAATGCTGGGAACTGATTAGTCATTACAATTTACCGGGGAAACTTAGGAAAGAAGCATCACAGTAAAATGAGAATTTCAAATTCGAAATCAGCGGCTCCCATTGCCGCCGTAGAAGAGTTTCGGCTTGTTTGGTTTTGTTCCGAGGCAGAATATAGGCTCCATTGGCCCTAAAGTCGTTGTCGAAGTTCGTACCGTGATCCTACAGTAACGAAGAGCGATAGACGATTCGCTCCATACCGTAAATCTAGCTTAACCTCGCCCTACAAATTGGTATCTAAAGCTTCTCGAAACACTTCATTACAAGAGAGTTATTTACAATGAACAGTTGGTACATTTTTTGGGGCACCCTGTAGTCCTTCACCCCCGGGTAGAGGACTACATGTCGCCGAAAGTCGGGGGTCCCGCCGGACATCGGGACATATAGTCCTCTACCCTTTTACTCCCTTCTCACCACTTACTACACGCACGCTCCGCGCTAGCGTGCTGGCGCGTTTAGGCTAGTGGCGAGGTTTGTATGAGGAGAATGAGGAAATATGAAGAGAAATTAAAGAGCCGGTGCCAATAATCAACAGAGTTTTGTTTTGAGTGGTAGTTTTATAATCCGAGGGTATTGTGTTCCTAATCGCAGTTTACACAGCCTGTGGCCATACAATTTTGCATCCTTACTTCTGCAGTAATCAAGTTTTCTCAAATAGTTACACCGATATCATAGATCCTTCTTGCTTCCTTTAAGCTCTTAGACTTCATTCAGGAAGTTGTATTCTAAACGTTACCGCGAACGTATGGCCATACAGAAGAAATATGACGACATCTTTTCCTGTGTAGTTGGTAAAGCATTTATGGATCCGTCAGTTCGCCCTAGTACACCTTCTGCAGTCAAGTACAGGGTAAGCGTTTTATAACTAACTTCATCTTCTCGCTTTTCTGTCCACTACTTATCTTCTCTCATTGGCTGTACTCTCAAATATGAGGTTTTTCTCAGTAAAATCAAATGATTTGCAATTATAGATGAGGGAACGCGCAGAGAGCGAATGCTTACCGGTAAACGCGCGGGTTTGCTTTGATTCTGAACGCACCACTCCAAGCTCTTATGGTGACGAAAGTGAAACAAGTTCCAACAGCGAACCAGGTTTGTTATGCTTGGTCAATTGTAATCTCATGCACAGTTTTAGATGAGGAAGAAATTACTTTCGTCGAGCGCAATTTGTCCTATGTCAAATGCTCATGCGGTAAATCTTTGAAAGACCATTCAACCCTTCACAGGCACATCGCGACTAAGGTATTTGTGAGGTTACCACTGCTGTAGTTTATAGTTTTGGCTTGAGCACACAACTATGTCTGGCCATTGTCCGGAATGTGATGTTCCCGAAAAGATTTTGCGAAACAGCCTTGTTTGCAGGTAACTTTTCTATGTATTTCTCTTCCCGTGCTTCAATTCATAGATTTTTGTATCTCTTTAGGGTCTGCAATATATATTCGGAAGAGCTAGAAGAACATCTTCGCATTCATTACCAAGATAGGATCGGTTGCGGTGCATTGATGGAATGTCGCATCTGTTGCAGAACGTTTCAAAGTTGGTCAGATTTGCACTCTCTCACTCTTTTTGTTTGGTCTTCCTTTCTATACCATCTTCGTTCTTATATTGGCTTTTCATATCTCAAGCTCTACTAACTTGAAAGAAAGAGTGTCCTAAAAATTTTATAACAGGTTTGCAAAATGCAAAATGTGTTTTCTCTATGTTTTTTACTTCTCCTAAGGAAACCAACCAGTTTACAGCCGTGCACGAGGTTCTTCTCCACGAGCAGTATTCGCATGACATGCAACGTAACAAGACACCTACAAAATTTCTTTGCGATTACTGCAAAATGGAGTTTACCACAAAGCATGTGAGGTCTTACCTCCTGTCGTTTCGAATCAGCTCAGTTCTTCATCTGTCTCGAACTAATTAAGCTTCGTGATGGGCATCTGGTCAGTCATTTCGACCATATTATCGGAGATGTTTGGGAGCGTGTTGAGCAGATGCAGAGCCAATTTACCGGTAAGTTTAGTACATTTCGTTGAATGCCCGTTTGTCATCTGAAGAAATATATTCCAAATCCTTTCACGTTTTTTGGGGTTAATTGCTGTCGTTTTTTTTGCAGCTGAATCTTTGTGAAAATTTAATCTTACCAGGCTTTCATTCTTGATTGCAGATCAACGGTTAGTCAATCAATGTCCAATATGTTTTCACGTTATGGGCAGCAGGAAAAGCTTCAAAATGCATATCATCCAGAAACATCTGACGAAGAATCCGGAAACCTTTATGGGTAAGTTAATTCCTTTCTTACTGCAGTTTCGGCCCTCGATGAATGCACCAATATTTCAGATATACTCAATAGACCATCATTTACCGATAAGTTCTTCTTCATTCTTCAAGAAAGAAAGCTGACCGGTGCTAATTCTGCATCTCCACCTGCCACACTTGATTTAAAAGAGGAAATATAGTATGCTGTATTCACCTGTGTTCAGATTTTTGTGGTCTTCGAATGTGCAAATATTGAAGACGAATTATTTCTATTCTTAAAATTGTACTGCTACTTGAAGGCAGTGGCTCGGGAAATTTGCGACTGCGGGCTTTTCACAACTGCCTGGCCTTCTGGATCCGCTGAGTCCGGTACTGAGCGCACTTCAAAAAAAAAATGCTTTTTATGGCGTTTTCCGGCCTTGGAGGAGATCGCTGAGCGGGCTGGAGCGGAGATTCCCGCCCACCGCGATTGGCTGCCTGGGCCAATCAACCAATTACCGCCAAAATGAGTGGTGTTACAGTCTCATGCAGCCAGTCACTGTTTTTGGCGGGAGCCTCCGCTCCAGCCCGCTCAGCGATCTTCAAGGCCGGATCTTATATATAAGCTGAATGTGTGTCTGTCTATATGTCTGTATGTCTGTACGTATGTGCGGAATAGAAATTTTCATTTCTGAACCGATTTGGACCAAACTTGGCAGACATACACTTCGGGGCAGGGAGCGTGTCATAGGTTACTTTTCGTTATCGATCGTTATCGATTTTTATCGATTTTCTTGCGGAGTTCACCTACGGGGCTGGGATTCGGCACAGGGGGTAAGTGAGAGCATGGCTTCCGAAAACAATATTAGTTTTCAGAATTATCGATTACTTTTATCGATTTTATCGATTTTTTGCAAAGTTTGAGCTACAGGGCTGGGAGTTGGCACAGGGGGGTAAGTGGGCATGTTGATTTCGAAAACAACGCAGCGAAAGGGAAATAAAGTGTAGAATGGGCACAGGGAAAGGCTGTACAGGGATAGGGATGGGACCTCTTTTACAGTGTTTTGACAGGGCCGAGCGGAGCCGGGTAAGCAAGCTAGTAACACCATAAAAAGTACTTTTTTGACTTTTCAAGCACAACTCTGTCAGCGCACCTAAAGGCCAAGGAGGAACAGAATTCGCGCAGTTACAATTTTCCCGAGCATTGCCTCTAATTCGATTACGCCCCAACGTGTTCGTTATGTCTTTCGCAAAATTCTATCATATTCTGTTTTCTTCTATATTGTGCGTATATAGATGATATATTTTCTCTTAAACGCTTTTCATTTTTATACTTATGAAACAACTACCTCATGCAGCATGCATGTTTTCCTTTGCATTACAATCTGACTACATCTTGCTCTTTGTAAATCATGTATATCATGTAGTTAGTGTTTCGGGCATAGAGTTTTTGTATGTTTTTTACTTCGGGGATTTTTCGGGTCATTGCGGTAGGCGGTATTGGGGATTTTGTTATTTAGTGTAATATGCTAGTCCGATGGCATTTGCTTTTGCATTCTACGTCTGTTCAAAATTTTTCGAAGCATTGTTGATGGTAGTTAAGAACCAAAGTTCTTTGTTCATGTCGCGGAATCGGCATGCGTATAAAAAGTGCTTAACATTGTATTGCTTGTAATCATAGTGGGAAATAAAGGTGCTTGTCTTGTTCTAACACAAACGGTTCAGAGCGTCGAAGCTCCAAGAAGAGAAAAGTTGGGGTGGAGAGGACCAAAGGGGGGTGACTTGTGCGAGCCAGCCGTTCTCCACCCTTTCAGCGCGGTCACTGCGTTTTTTGTAAATGACTGTTTCCTGTCGAGGGAAGCAAGTTGATGCTTGATGTACGAAAATACTTGCTTAATGGCCGCGGCTCGGCAGATTTTCAACCTCGGGGTTTTGGCAGATTTGGGGCTATTTCGGCCCCCTGAATCACGCCCTCAGCGCGAAAATGGAGAAAACCCCGTCTTTTGAAACCCCCCTTGAGACGGGCGCGGACGAGTGCGCCGTTTTTCTCTGCCGTCAGAGACGCAGAGTAATGAGGTAGAGAGCGCTAGAACAATTCTGCCCTACGAAGCTACGAGTGACGGCGCGTTTTCTAGTGGAGAACATACTCGTCCGAACAAGGTGTTAGAGGAGCGAAAGGAGGAAGGGGAGCGGCGGTTGGGTTGCCCCCCTGGTATGCAGAGTTCACATTTTCGGCGCGGAGTTGCTGTTTTGGTTCACTTGAAGGGCCTCCTATGGCACGCGCCATACTTGATCCGCTTAATCCACTTGATCCGCTTGATCCGCTTCACCATTGGTCAGTTCACTGACTTGACCAATGACGAAGCGGATCAAGCGGATCAAATGGATTAAGCGGACTAAGTATGGCGGGTGCCTATCCATCTGTGTCAAAATCTGAGGTAGGTTCATTCTGCCGAGACGCTGCCTTTAAGTATTCCAGTACATGAAAGACTGATCTGATTAGGACCAGACTAACGCAAAGGAAATTGTTGTCGTCGAATGTTTACCATTCGATTAGGTCACTATCATAATTACTTGCTTTGATCAATAATACGGCGCTTATCAGTGCCTTCAACGACAGCAAAACTTTCGATCTTTGTTGTCATCAAAAATCTTAGACCTTTTATTCTTTTGAACTGCAAAAGTGTTACCTTTTATGTAGCAGAAAATGGAAAATCTCAGCGAAAATTCGCTCCCATCTCCATCCTCTGTCCTTTTATTGAATATTGTGAATTACTTGACAGGAAATCTGATCTTCTCATCAAGGTTAAGGAGTAGTTATATCCAACCCCTTCTCTTCTATAACATAGAGATCGCTTCTATCTTACTTCATCCCTTTGCTTGATCGTTGGTCGTTATGTGTGTTATTTCAACATTTTATCTATCTATTCGTTAATGCATAGGGAGGAATCTACGAAAAACCCGAAATTAAGGGACAAACAACAGAACAAAACATTAACACAGTTATGAGTACTACTCAGTGATGAGCATTTGAATTAAGAACAAGTCAAATCAATATATTATAATGATGTAGAAAGCATATACTCGCGAAATCTTATAATATTCAGATTAACAGATATAGTAGATCGTAACATAAGTTTTGTTACACTCAGAGTAGAAACTTAGTACCTTAGAGTAGTACCTTCAGAAGTGCCTTCACAAAATTGTCTTTATACAGGGTGTAGCGAAAAATGTGCCTACCGTTTGATCTTATATATATACATATAAAGCTGAATGTCTGTTTGTATGTTTGTCTGTCTGTCTGTCTGTCTGTATGTATGTATGTATGTCTGTCTGTACGTATGTTCAGAATAGAAAATTCCATTTGTGAACCGATCCGGACCAAACTTTGCACACATACACTTCGGGGCCGGGCGGGTGTAGCGGGTGTCATAGGCCACTTTCCGTTATCGATCAATATTGATTTTATCGATTTTTTTGCAGAGTTCACCTGCGAGGCTGGGATTTGGCACAGGAAGGTAATCGAGCATGCTGATTACGAATACAGTATAATTTTATCGATTTTATCGATTTTTTTGCAAAGTTTGAGCTACGGGGCTGGAAATTCTTAGCGGGAGGGGTGGGGGGATAAATGGGCATGCTGATTACGGAACGAAGCTGGAACAGGGAGCTGGCATGTAGAAGTGGGCACAGGGAAAGGTTTGTACAGGTATTGGAACAATGATCTTTGTCATAGTGTTTTGACAGGGCCGGGTGGAGCCGGGAAAGCCAGCTAGTTGTGGTTATACTATGTCTCAAATATTAGATTGCTACCGTTTCTAGAATTTTTCTGAGAAAGGAAAAAGGTCCCACAAAGTTTATGTTACCACCTGATACTTCAACTTGAATGGGTGAATTCTAAAAGAATTCTGTTCCAAAATTTCCTATCGAGATCTCAGTCTCTCAGTCTTTCAGCTGTATATAGATCCAAGTTTTCTAGAACATCGTTTCTACAACCGGTACATTCTTTAGTGTAGTCGACACTGATAACAGAGCAATGCTGGTGTATCAATCATTTGATTGACCTGTGTTTGAGTTGTCAAACTGTGAGCATTGAGAGTGTTAACTCTTGCAAAAAACTGTTCTCTCAGCCCTTGCCCTTCTTCGTAATCAAAGAACTAAGAGGTTTTTAGTCCTCGTTGTTCTCCGCATTGTAATCAGCCACCTGTTGTTGTCCCAAGATTTCTGTTTTTATACAGCAGATCTTTTGCTCAATTCTCACAGTATAAAACAGTAGACTTTCTGAAAATTGTTACCAGAAATTTGTGAAAATCTGTGAATGTTCAGAGTGTGGGTAGCCTGGGTTTACTTGGACTTGATATTTATAAGCAAGAAAGAATTTTGCAAACAAGCAAAGTTTTATAAAACGCACACTTTCAAACTCCATGATTTACGCTGCTAATCATAAATAAAGTTCATGCCTCCCCTAAATTTTTTTGGGTTTCTTTTCTGAATCATCGCTCTCCGATTGTTGAAGGAAAGGAGTTTTCTCAATCCTTTTTGGGCTAAAAATGGCAGTCAGAAGTTGAATGATCAGAGGATTATTCACCTTCTCAAAATTCTACAATGTGACAAACTTTATAATTTATATAATGTGCTAATGCAAAAAGTTGGATTTTTCGAATGGGTTAAAAGAAATCTTACATTTGATGAAATCTTCCCTCTAGTATCTATATTATCGCGAAAAGTGCATAGAATCGTCCAGTTTTATTTGTTCCAATCATGTTCACATGTCCTATTATCTTCTTCCCTGGGGTTTAATAATGAATCTATCGTTTAACCTATAGATCTTCCTCGTATGGAGCTACCAGTTCTTCTCGTCACCAATGGCGTCTTGATGCCAAATGCTAAGCTGAAAGTTCCTGTGAAAAGCAAAACAAAGTAAGTCTTTTTTGTAAATTCGTAGTAGTCAAGTGTCACACGCAGAGACAGGAAGCAGTCGCAGACGCTTTCGGCGTCTCTCCAGTTGAGTGTACTTTCATTCCTTTTAGCGTCTGCCTCTCTCTCAAACACAAGCTATTTAGGCGCAACGACCTACATCTCTCTCAAACAGTCGACGGCATACCTCCGGAGCAGAAATGGCCGAGCGGCGGGGTTTCCCCAGCGGGGGATTGCTGCTCCGGAACCCTCCCATTTTGTGCTCCGGAGGCCTCCCATTTTATGCTCCGGAGACCTCCCATTCTGTGCTCCGGAGACCTCCCATTCTGTGCTCCGGAGACCTCCCATTTGTGCTCCGGAGCCCTCCCATTTTGTGCCCGGAGACCTCCCATTTTGTGCTTTGGAGCCCTCCCATTTTGTGCTTCGGAGACATCCCATTTGTGCTCCGGAGCCCTCCCATTTTATGCTCCGGAGGTGTCCCAAATCTGGCGTACCTCCGGAGCGCAAATCTCTGCCCCGGGGCTCTCCCAGATCTGGCGTACCTCCGGAGCAGAGATTTGCGCGTCCCGGAGAAGGGTCCCATTCGCCTGCTTGTGACGTCACCGTGACCTACAAGAAGGGACCGCCCCCTCGCCCCGCTCTCAAGGTCAACTGGGTCCTCCGCGGCTCTGCCATTTCGAGTGTCCGCCGCGACTACGGCACCGACTGTCTGAGCTGCGTGCAGTGACTCTTCTCACTTCATCCTAAGTATATTCGCTATCAGTGGTTCATTATTTCCATTTTTAGCTTGGCGACGCTGGATCGTTTCGTTATAAACAAAGGATTGCCAGGAAAATCTCTTGTTTTGGTTGCATATAGGTTAGAAAAGAGAAAGGTAATCATACCATTTTGTTAGCAGCTACGAAGGCTGGAAGAGCACTGTCTATTAATTTAGAAAGTCTACGAAACAGGAACTGTAGCTTTAGTAGAACAAGTTGTCTGCTGGAGTTACAATAATTTCGTACAGTACACGATTCACCTTGTGGGGGTTTCAAGAGCAAAAATTGAAAAATTCGCTATACCCATTAGCACTGTACAACAACTCTATGCTGTCGAAGGTTAGATTTTGATAGCAAGTGGTTGACGTAGGATGTAAAATGAAATTTTGATTTTTTAGGGGAGATTTCGTCAGATTTGAGGAAAGAATTTGTGGACCGAGTTGGGGAGTTGTCGATGTCATTGTCGTTGGACAGGATCGAGGACTCACTTGCGTTGAAAAAATTTTTGAATGAAGACAGATTGGAAGATTTGGCAGATTATTGGTAAGTCATATTTCCAAATTAAGGAACTGATGGCGTCCCAGGAAGAATTATGATACTTATGTCAGCTGAGAAAACCAGAGTGTCTCGTACCTTTTTCAACCGTTTAGCTTTTCAGAGCAGACCTATAATACTTCCCAAAGATAAACGTTGTTTGTTCAGCTGAGAAACATCGGAACAGTGTCCAGCACAGGCGGCATTCGAGATCGGAAGCGAAGTCTTTTTTGACATTGCAGAAATTACGAATAAGCTTTTCTATATTTGTAGGAGTACGGCCTATAATCTGCAGCGAACGATGAGTGGCTAAAAGTAAGGAAAGAGAATATTAGAACAACCAAGCGAAAAAAAATGAGGTTTTTTACATCATCAAGGGCCGTTGCAAATTGGGGGAGGGGCGCAGGGGGCGAGGGATTCGAATATTGCGTTAAAGTATACCACAGGTAAAGCTTGGACTAAAGAATGGATTTATGTAAAAATTTTCGGAAAATCATGTGAGAAGGGGGAATTATGACATTGTTTGGTCCCGCACTACCTCTGGGTGCTCCCAGGGTGCGCGGGAGCAACCTAAAATAAAAAAAACTCATTTTATTCACATAATTTTTTCATAATTTTTCGTGCTTTTCTTCCAATCATCAAAAAGCTCAATATTGTTTAGTCGTTGTAAATAAACTAATTGTTTAACTTACTGTGCATAAAGATCATGTTTTAATACGTTGAAAAATTGTGTGCACACAAGTTCATGCACTGATCGTGTTTGTAACAATTTGATTTACCTGTCAGTGGTAAAATGACGGTCGAGCTCCAAATTCGGGCTTTCTAACCATAAGATTGATGACTGTGTTGCTAATATCTTGTCAGATCCGAAAATCCCGCTTCCAAACTTTACGATTTCCATCTTGCTTCCCCCTCAAAGAAAGGGGTGAGGGAACTTATGAACCCGAGTCTAATTAGCCCGATTCGGGGAGTCCCTGCAGGATACACTCATGCTCGCTGTCTCCTAGGACATGGCGACAATCTAAGCCCCGCCCTCCTGGGAGCCTGTTTTGGAACCTGGCCAAGGAATGCTGAAAATCCCATTCGAACTTCAGGAAACTGGCTCTTAGCCAGAAACCTTCAAAATGATCGTACGAAGGTGAAATTAGGTTCAAACGAAAGAGAAGAGCCGTGCCGTCATCATAACCTATCTACTGATTGAAAATGATGGAACACAGCTTTTTTGTTCAAAAGTTTATTTAAGTGTCAAGTTTAGACAAAACGCTGGGAAATTATATGAGAAATTGCCAAGCTTTTCGCAAATGATTTATTTGGGTGCTAAATCCGGGCAAAAGACCAGAAAATTATTTCAGAATGACATTTCAGAAGCTTCTCAAAAACAAAAGTTTATTTGTGTGCTGAAGTTTGGGCAAAAAACTAGAAAGTCATTCAAGAATAATGTTCGTTTATGCATGAAATTCGGGTAAAAGACTTTCAAGAAATGGCATTCAACAATTATAACTACCAGAGCTGCCCGGAAAAAAGATATAAAAATGAAAGTTGAGATCAGGGTTGAGCAAGAGGTCAGGCACAAGTCCTTCAGAAACGACCCCCCCCCCCCGTGAAAGCCCCTAAACGACGCTCCCCTTCACCTCCAAGTCCTCAGCGTGTTGTATTTTGAAGAAGAGCAGCCTTCACTGCAGGTTTCTATTTTTTGAAAGTCTGTAGGCCCGACTTTCTGCGATTGCACAACCACACGCAACTTGACGGCAAGTTTTAGATCTGGATAGTCCTTTTTTCAGAGCCATAATTTTCACAGGGGTGGAGTGTTTGGCTCCAAATTTTCAATATGGCAAGAAGAGGCTTTGCTCTCAATACCCATATCAAAAAAGGGGCAATTTTTGAATTTTGAAGACAAGTTAAAGGCAGTGTCCCGGCAGATTCGGGTCCTGGGGGATATACGTGTGGTGGGGTTCCTGGTCACCCCATCGACCTCCAGGCGCACTCCGGCTGGGTGATGTTCCCCCTGGGCCGAGAAAATGGCCCTTGAACCGGCGCGCGCAACCCCAACTGGCGCGCGCTTGGACGGCCTTCCCCGCCTGTTCGGCGCGGGACCCCACGAGCGCTCTCGCCCATAATGCATGCTATCCAAAGCAAGAATTACAGGCGGCAGGATCTTCGTCTGAGGACCTCCCCCAACTTTCCGTTGAAAATCTCGTCCAAGCTGCTTTTCTGAAATTAGGAAAACGCCCCAAAATCGGCCTTTTCAGCCCGTTTAAAGCTCAAATTCGGATTTTACGTGGCGAAAAGGCCTAAAACGTGCAAAAAGGTGGAGGTGCAAAATCTGCCGGGACACTGCCTTTAAGAGGATCAGGCGCAACCCCTCAAAAGCTCAGGCGGCCGGACCTTTTGAAGGGTTGCGCCTGACCCCATTAACTTTATTTCCGAAAAAGCTTTTCTACCCAAGTTTTATGTGATTCCCTAGCTCAATTCTCGAAGATTCCACAGTAAGTGTTTGAGCTTGGTTCGACTTGTTTCGGTTGTGCTAATCCGAGGAGTTGAAGCACTCAACGTGAAAAACGCGCCGGTTGGAATTTTGGCAGCACTTCTTATTTCACTGTTTGAAAGCGATATGAAGCCCGATTTGTAGCATAGATTTGTAGAGAACATTACTTTGTTATGAGTATACAAAAGCTGACTTTTCTCACTTTTAAAACCAAGTTGATTTTGAAAATCACGCTTTTTAGACGTTGAGAAACACTAGGAACTGCAGTAGGTAATGGTTTGTAGAGCGCATAGAGGTAATCTGACATGCTGATTATGGAATTGATACCCATTTCACACAGCAAGCTTCCTTGTCGACCTCATATGTCAAGGTAAAAGAGATGAAGATTTGAATTTGGCTGAAACTTCCATTGTGGAAACAATCAATATGCTGTTTATGTCCGTCATTCCTTCATGTGATCGCGATATCCACCGGACTAGCGCATTTCTTCTTCACCTTCGCAGTATCTCCTCAACTTAACAAAATCGATTCTCAATTATGCCCCCCCCCCTAAGTCTCACGTTCAATACGATCCCCCAGGTTACGCTACTATTAGGTTGGCCCGAAAATTTTTTCGCACCATTTTCAAAAATTCATAAGTTCTAATTTTTCCAACCGATTTGACAGCTTTTATTTTTATGTGAAAGAGTAACTCATGCTCTTTATAATGACATCTTAGCTGCTTAGTAATGATCATCTGTTGCATAGATAGGAGCGATAGAACAAAATTAGTCAAAATTCGAAATTTTCTGTGTAGGGTCATAAAAAATCGGAGACTTGCAACAAAAATCGGAGCAGTCAGTATTATAGGTTCTGTTACCTGCTCTCTCTAACTGTGCAAGGTTTGCGCTGATTGAGTGTCTCTATGAAAAGTTATGATTTCTCTGAAAAATGCCAAAATAAATCAAATTCGCCTTTTGTATTGCTTGCTCGAAAATCATAACTTTTCATAGAGACGCTCAATCGGCTCAAACTTTGCACTGTTAGAAAGGGCTGGTGAAAGAACCTACAATACCGAAAGCTCCGATTTTTGTTGCAAGTTTACGATTTTTCATGACCCTACACAGAAAATTCGAATTTTGACTAATTTTCTTCTATCGCTCCTATCTATGCAACAGATGACCATTAGCAAGCTGCTAATTGTAAGATGTTGTTATAAAGAGCATGAGTTACTCTTTCACATAAAAATAAAAGCTGTCAAATCGGTTGGAAATCAGAAGTTATGAATTTTTGAATTTGGTGCGAAGAAGGGCCAAAATAATATATAAGAAAAATTTCGTCTTATATTCTTTTGAACTTTTCTTGCCGTAGGTTGCGTCATTGCTTACAGCATAGTTGCCGGATACACTTTGTCATTTCTTGACTGGTTTTCTAGTCTTTCGCCCGAACTTTAGCACTCAGATGAACTATAATTTTTGAGAAGTTTTTGAGCTTCATTTCTCAGATGATTTCCTGGTTTTTTTTACCCCTTTAATTTAAAATAAGCACTCAAATAAATTTTTTTCGAAAAGCTTGACAATTTCTCAAATAATTCCCCAGTGTTTTGTCTAATTTGACACTCAAATAAACTTTTGAACAAAAAAATGTTGTGCTCAACAATTTCAATCAGTAGATAGGTTATGATGACGGCACGGCTCTTCTCTTTCGTTGGAGCCTAATCTCACCTTCATGCGATCATTTCAAAGGTTTTTGGCTGAGAGCCAGTTCCAGTGACCTGAAGTTTAAATTGGGATTTCCAGCATTCCTTGGCCGGAGCGGGGGGGGGGGGGGAGAGCGCCCATTACTTGTTAGTGTCGATTAGAAATAGCCGCGACGCGGCTATTTCTAATCGACACTAACAAGTAATGGGCGAGAGGCAGCAGGGCAATGTGAAAGTCTCAGAGGAAATGTTTAGGGGTCACGTTGTTATAGTGAACAAAAAGTAAATATTTTCTGACCAAATACGCAGTAATTCCAATTCCGTTTATATCTCTTTCATTTTTGCAAGATCTGGGGCCAAACTTCCGTCAAACAGTAAAAATTAATATGGTAGTGCAAAAACCTAAAAAATGGAGCAGTATGCCTTGCGAGTCGGCTACCCGAGCTCTCCTCGCAAATGATTACTGCCAGCCTGTCGCGTGCGGCGTTTCGTAATTGACGGTCATCAGGGCCCGGCACGCGTTGGTATGGAGCATTTTTGAACGAAGTCCCCTATGTATTCGCGATAATCTACGAAGTCCCTTTTGACGTAAAAGTCAGTAGGGAAACCCTTGTTCAAACAACATAACAAAACATAACGATAAAAAGGCGAAAAAAGCGAGTTTTGAGGCACTAATATACTAAAAAAGCAAAAAAACATTTGTGTCGTTCAATTCTTGAGTATGGTACCATTTTAGTGTTCAGAACGTTGAAAACCTCTTATAACCTCTTAAACCTCTTACCTGTTAGGCCAACTAAATCTGTGACCTCAACAGTCTGGCGATACATTTTTCGCCACACAGTTCAAAGGACACTGCATGTGACTGGAGCGCAATATCTATCAACGCTAGATTTACACTACTTTTGGCTCAAAGAGGAGAGGCAATAGTTTGATTCGCTCTCTTCGCTATATGATAGATTTTAGATCTTCGTCTAAGTCAAAAAGGTCCCAAACTTATGTAAACTCTCCGATACTTATGCTCCGAACCAACCCGTTAGTTTGGTGTTGGTTTAGAAACCAACAAATTCGGGAACGGGTATCAGGACACATAAGTTTCCGAAACTTTTTACATAATGTTGTTTGGAGTAATATTGTATATACATATTCCAAATTCGGCGTCATGTGATTGTTTGTGCGCTGTAAACAAGCCATCTGTTTGTTTGGGTCTCACGTTTGAAATTCGCGCGCTTGCCAAAGAACACGTTTAACTCGTAAACCTATGTTGTATATATGTTATATGTTGATATGTTTGCCGTGCTTTTTTTTCGGTGCTTCGCCCAGGACCTTATAAAAACGATATTCCCGTTGCTTCTGACCCCAGAAACGAAGTCCAGTTTGACTCCGAACCATCTGTGCCGGGCCCTGGTCACAAGTACAGATACAGTAAGATACACCCTTTGGCCGGATCTAAAACAGCTCTTAGGGAGGGAGCAAACGGAGATAGCGAGCATGAGTGTATCCTGCAGGCAATCCCCGAATCGAGCTAATTAGGCTCGGGTTCCTAAGTTCCCAAAAAACGACATCCAGCGTGTGAAGACGCCACTTCTGCTGAGCCTTGCATCGGAGTAACTCGAAGCTCCTCTTTTGATAGCTAAGAATATCAGTAGATTATCTTCATTGTTCAAATCTGCCTTTCAGTATGCCGTTTCTGGAATTTGTTTTGTTTTCGTTCTGAGCTTCGTGCTTAAAAAACTTTTGTAAGTATACATATGTGGATTTCATAGATTTTACAAGTCCTGTAACTCGATCGGTGAAAACTCATCTTTCAGCGTTTCACTGGTCAATGACGTCTCATATTCTTCACTTCTGAACTATCTGGGCACACTGGAGATACCCAAAAGAGTCGGGCTAGCGAATTCTTGGTTGAAGGAACATCTGAATGTGAGGGTTTGATGCTTTTTTCAAAGAACATTCTGCGAGAGAAAAGCACCTCCATAATCAATTATCCCCTTCAGCAATTGCTTGCTCCCATCTTTTCGTAGGGCAGTCGTTCTGCAGCCGCAGTCCAGTAGAATTTCCGCTCAATATAGTATCGGCGTTTCATAACACGCAAAGACTGGGCGCCGCTGCGTACGACAAAGATAGCTCGTGCTTGGGAGAGACAGCAGATAGTAAGAGAAACGGAAGAGCGCTTAATCAGAGAGACTCCAATACGTTCGCAGTCTTTGCATGCGATGAACCGCCTATATTCTTAGAGGCACCCTTCACCCAAAGTGGGGGTTCACGAGATTCGATGGCATAATAATGTGGGCCCCCACACTAGGTCAACCCCCAAGTTTCCCCGCAAAAAATTGCAAAATCCGCTCCGGAAGGAACGATTTCTTGTTCCGGAAGCAGTATCTCGGAGTATTTCGGAATTGGACACTCCACCAGCTGGTCACTCCGCCCGTTTTTTCCCAGACGGGGATTTTTGGGGGTTTCGTGATTTCTTGACTCCATATTGGAGATGAGGGCCTTCAGAAGGCCTGTAAGCGACAAAAACATGGAAGTCAGGAATTTGGGTGGACGGCGCCTTTGAGTTACGGGAATCTTGCGACAAAATTGATGCCGGCATTAGCGCGCGCAAAATGCCGGCATTCCTGACGTGGTTTTTTGTTCCGCAGAATCTCGGCAGCGCAATTACACTATATTGAGCTACAGAACCGGACTGTATACGATTTCCTAAAGTGTACTCTTTATTCCATCAGTATAGTGAGATCAAGGGCCGTAGTAATCCCTGTGGACATGACGTATTAGGTCGCAACCTAAGCTCGAGCTCAGTTTCAATCCGCAAGCCGTTTTTATAATATTTCCCTGCTATCTTTATATTACGAGTATATCGAGATCTTAGACGTGGCGTATAAGCTCGCGAGCTCGATGTATTAGGTTGTCCGAAAAGCGACAGAGTGACCACAAAAAACAGCGAATGGGGTATCTTTGATAGAGCAAAGTAAGGTCTTCAAGGAAGTCTACAAACCTCCGCGGAGATCTTCCTCCAACTGAAGTTCGAATTCAAAATATAAAAAATTCCAGATACCTGAAAATTTATACCTTCGTCCATAGACGTCTTAAAGGCAGTGGATCGGCAAAATCCAACAACTCAGGATTTCAAAGCCTAGGTTCCTTATCGCTCAAGTATGAAAACAGTGCAATCCCGGTTGCACAGCATGCTTTCCCTGCCGAGAAAATCGCTCTCAAATTTACACACGCAGGCCAATCTTTTACGCATCTGGACGAGTTGGCAATTTCCTCCTCAACATTGGAGGCTGCCCGCCGCAACGCTATAACCATTGGGTCCTGCACGATTTAGCGTCATCGGCTTTGCTCCACTCGTCCAATTCCAAAAGGAGAGCAAAAGACGCTTATTTTCGCCGTTTTCAAGCTTTCAAAAGTGGATTTCCGGGATCAGCGTATCAAAGAACCCCAGGTAAGCGCAAATTTGACTAGGTTGAGATTTGCCGAGCCACTGCCTTTAAAGGCAGTGTCCGGGCAAGAACTCGATTTTGAGAATTTGTGCTTACCCGGGACTATTCGCTATGCTGAATCCGAAAATCCACATTGGAGAGCGCGAAAATGACGAAAAAGGGCTCTAACACTGGAGGGAAATGAGCAAGTGGGCGGGATCTTCCCCATTGTGAATTCACGCTCCCAGCTCCCGGAGCGATTTTCTCGAATCCGCTAGCCGTCCTGACATCGCTACCGGTCAAGTGCGAATGATTGACTTGAAACCGGAAGCGAGAAGGTCGCTTCAGAAGCAGGGGACGTGAATTTGCAGTGGGGAGGACCCCGCCCACCTGCTCATTTCCCTCCTGTGTTAGAGCCGTTTTTCACCATTTTTGCGCTCTACAATGTGTATTTTCGGATTCAGCGTAGCGAATAGGCCCAAGTAAGCACAAAATCTCAAAATCGAGTTTTTGCTCGGACACTGCCTTTAAAGGCATCGTCTACCCAAAATCTCGACAATGTTTTTGTCGCCTTCAGGCCTTCTGAAAGCCCTGATTGCGAATATGGAGTCGAAAATCCGCGAGCCCCCAAAAATCCCTGTTTCGAGAACCCACTGCAACAAGCGTAGGCGAGATAAAGCATGCAAGTGGGCGGGGCGACCATGGTCGCCCCGCCTACTTTGCTACTTCTGGAGCGGATTTCTCGCTTCAGAAACAGTCTGTTGCGGCGAAGCTTGGTTTGCCTAGTGTGGGGGCCCACACTAGTATGCCATTATAATCTCGCCAACCTTCATTTTGGGTGGATGGTGCCTTTAGGCCTAAAGCATACCTCCAGCGATCCCGTCGTTACGATTTTCGATCGCTGCGACTAGACTGCCTGGGCGACCGTTCACAGCTTGAAAATCGCTCGTCGCTTGATTCCTGGACATACCCAAAGCGATTTTGTAGACGCTCAGACATCACACCGCATTATACGCATTTTTGGAAAACTTGCGCAAAATTGCCTGAAGTGCGTTTTTTCAAGGAAGAACAGAATGTGGTGCCATATGCTTTAAGAGGACATTACATCAAACGAGAAAGGATATGGATTTACACACATCCCAGTATCTACCAACGTTTTTCTACCGACGCAAGTTCAGTAGTTACATCTGCAATGAAATCGATTATCTTATCTATAAAGCTGAATGTGTGTCTGTCTGTATGTATGTATGTACGTATGTGCGGAATAGAAATTTTTATTTCTGAACCGCGGGGAGCGTGTCACAGGCTACTTTTCGTTATCGATCGATATCGATTTTATCGATTTTTTTGCAAAATTTGAGCTACGGGGCTGGGAGTTGGCACAGGGGGTAATCGAGCATGCTGATTACAAATATGTTATTGACAGGACCGGGCGGAGCCGGGTTTGGCAACTAGTTGGTTCATAAAGTTGAGTTCTCTTTCAGTCACTGGTAGGCATATAACGTTAGCTTTGTAGCAGTAAAATCATGCGTTCGGCTTTGTAAGAAACTCTAGGTAGGCTATTTCAACAACGAGTGCTGCACGAGCTCTTGTCTGCCAATCTGCGAACGTATACGTATATTGCCCGAGCAACCGATAATGCACATCTAATCTTCTTCAAAGATTATAGCAAGGAAATTTGCGATCGGTCACCATTTGTTATTAAAAAAAGAACAGGAAAAGATTAGTGCATTGGAACAGCAGAAGGTAACACAGAGGGTGAGGTGACATGTGAGAGCATTTCATACTACATAACTCGCATGTGTTGTTTTAAAGGAATAATAGTATAGAATGTTCGATGACCTACCTTCTCTCATGCAGAGGGGAAGCGCTTATGTGAGATGGACTGGTCCTAAATGAAATTTGCATTAGCAAAAAAATACAAAACTTCATAACAAAGAAGAAGCTACTCGAGCGATTCGCTCACCGCTGGGTCGGAACTAGCGACGGCGACATCGCTGAGTTTCAGCGATGGCGACGATTTTGAAGGTATGCCTGTGCAAAAACGGCCCGCGATATGTCGCGGCGTCAATCTAACCCAGACGCGGTGGAGCCACACAGTTGGAGGCGCCTGCGCTGCGGACTCGGAACATATGTCCGAGTTGGAATTTGCGACACGATGCCTTAAGGATCTCTAATTTGCACAGGCATGTACTCTCCACACTAGACATTCACCTGTATAGTTTGTGGTATTTTTCCATGGCTAAAGTACGTCAAACAAAAATAGGTCAACAGCGCAAATATATCGCGTTTTCCGGTTTTTGCAAACAATTTGATTTTTGTCGAAAACTAGGGCTTGTATGAAGCTGAAAATTCACGGTGACGCTCCCAAAGGTTCACACTACAGAATCACCTATTTTCGTTTTCTCAACTTCCAGCCATGGAAAAACCGCGAAAATGTGCTTACGAGTTCTCGTGTATACAATACCGCTCATAGTCAAAAAAGTCGCCAGACTGTCGATTTGTTCTAAGTCCAACTCGGGGTATTTCTGATGCGCTTATTGCGGTAATTGCATTTGGTTGATTCTCAAGGCACAGTGCGCAGGGATCTGCAATGTAAGATCATTTTGATTGCGTGCGAAATGTTGCTTATTGTTGCTTTCACGTGTTGGTCGTTCTAAACAGAAAGATCGCATGTCGCAGTGGCCATCTGAAACGAAGTGGTGTCATCAAATGCGCCTTGGTAAGCTGACTCCTAACCTACTTCCCTTATTTGTTAAACGGCGCTCTAGTGGAAGATATAGGCGTCTGCAAACTTTGCAAACAATCTTTGTCACACCAAGAATTAGCGGTAGTACAAAGACCCTTCATTATGTATCTAATAAAAATTTGCTTTTTGTATCAAGTACACAACATCATGCCCATTAAAGTCTTTCGAATGGACTGTAAAGTAATATGCAGACGTAGCTCAGTAACTCATACTTTCAACCGCTCATAACTTTTCTCAGAGACTCGTTCAGCAGCTAGAGAAGGTAGCTATTCTTATCAAGACGCTTTGGATATGCATTTTATCAAGATCGAAAGTTGTGATCTTAAAGGCACTGTCCACCCTAAGTTGAGGGTGTTGAGCTTTTGGCAGCATATAACAGTAGGACCTCCTATCAAGCCAATGCCCAAGTCGCGGCGCAAAATGCCGCTTTGGAAGCGAGGAAATCGCTTCGGAATAGCGAAGATGCACGAGGACCTCCATCCATGCCCGCCCCTCCCCATCCATGCCCGCCCATTTGTGCGTGCTCACCCAATCACCGTTCTGAAAAGCCGGCCTGTAGGCTCTCCGGAATGGGGATTGTCGGGGTTTTCGCGGATTCTCGACTTCATATTTGGAATTAAGGACATGAGAAGGCCCTGAAGCTACAAAAACCTGGAAGTCGAGAATCTGGGTGGACGGTGCCTTTAAGGTCATTTCCTGTTCCATAGTAGCTAATATTTATTATGACGTCATGCTGTAGAGTACAATTGACGTTGTCACTTAGCACTTGCGTGATTTAACTGCTTATAATAAACATAATAATTTCCCGAGCACGTGATTCCACCATAACATATCGCAGCGCACATTGCACGTAAAAAGTTTCAATGAGTGTTTTTCAGCAGAGCTGTGTCCACATAACATTCTTAAAAACCACTTGGAGGCTTTTCTTCATTGCCGAGAGAAAAAGTGGTGAATTTCGGGAATATGCAAGGACTGGGAATTATCAATTTACCGCAAGTCTACAGCAGTACCTTAAAAAGCGAATTTTGCGTTAGTACTGTAACCTGCATGCCATATTGCTCATCTGAGCTGAGTTTCGCGTTGATCTAAGGTTTTCACTTCCGTTCTGCAGACGGGTTTGTGTAAGTTTGCAATTCAATGCTTTCTGTAGATGAGGGGCTCCCGTGGGCATCACTCGATAAAGCAGCCTCCTTTGTTTCTAACAGCAGGCGAAAAGCGCAGAAAGTCTTTTGCTGTGAGGGAGTAAATGGCTAGCAAACTTTGAAGAATTCCATGTTCACCTAAAAACTCCCTACCGTAGCCCTACAGTAAGAAGCTGTCTTGCAAATCAGGTATGATTTTCATGATCAGCAGGTCGGATAAACCCTATGGGCAGACTTTCTGGGGAAATCGGGACATTTGATTTTTTCTCGTTCCTCGCTCTTGAGCTCGCTGCAGGTTTTGACTGAAATATTAATGATCTTAATTCGACCTGAAACTTCGCCCACAAAGGTTTTTGGACCCCCGTTTACGAAAATTTTAGCTATTCTGCACGAAAGGGTTTACTTACTTTACATCAAGCGGGATCTAGCTAAGTCACGCAAGCTCGCAAGTGTGCGTGCCCTTTTATATCCTGCTGACGGACTTGCCTGCGCATTTTTGTATTTTGGACTCTCTGTGACACAGTCGGCACATACTTTATCTATGCCTCCATCTGCACTATTCCCCAAATTATGAGCTTAAGAATTCACATTCTCATGAATTTTGTCCCAAACCTAAAAATCGCGTATTTTGGCGAAATGTGTCAAAAGTGAAAGTGCATAACACACTGTTTACAAGTACCAAGTTCATGTCGCACGTGAGGAATCCAACATATTTCGCCAAAATACGCGATTTTTAGGTTTGGGATAAAATTCATGAGAATGCGGATTCGTAAGCTCATAGTTTGAGGAATAGTGCAGATGAAAGCACAGATAAAGTATGTGCCGACTGTGCTGTTCACAGAGAGTCCAAATTACAAGAATGCGCAAGCAAGTCCGTCAGCAGGTAGACGAAAAGGGCACGCAAACTTGCAAGCTGGCGTGACTTAGCTAGATCCCGCTCAATGTAAAGTAAGTAAGACTCATTTGTGCAGAATAGCTAAAATTTTCGTAAACAGTGGGTTCGAAAACCTTTGTGAGCGAAGTTTCAGGTCGAATTAAGATAGAGAGCTCAAGAGCGAGGAACGAGAAAAAATTAAATGTCCCGATTTCCCCAGAAAGTCTGCCCATAGGGTTTATCCGATCTGCTGATCATGAAAATCATACCTGATCTGCAAGATAGCTTCTTACTGTAGGAACATGGAATTCTTCAACATTTGCTAGCCATTTACTCCCTCACAGCAAAAGACTTTCTGCGCTTTTCGTCTGTTGCTAGACACTAGGGAGGCTGCTCTATCGAGTGATGCTCACGGGAGCCCCCCATCTATTGTATTCTGTATTGTATCGTGTTGTGTTCTGTTTCGCACATTAGCAATGCTCATGGAGTTTTGGGCTCTCCCCGGCAGGCCGGTGGGTGCTTTCTCGTCGTCGTTTGCTTGTTGGAATACTTTAAGATCGTTTGCTGGCTAACGCGAGGGCATGGGTTCCATCTCTGTGGATATAACTCATTATCAGAGGTGCGATAGTCGGAGCCGAGTCTCCGCCTACCTTCACTTTTGAGCTGGTACGGGGTGACCACCTTCACTTTTGGGTTTGAAAAAATTTTTTCTGAAGCTTAAAAGAAGGAAAATAAGAAAAAGAAACGCAAAAGAAAGTATCGAGAGCATATATCTATGTAGTAAGTCGATCTAGGCAGTAACCGCCGAGAACCAGAATTTCGAATGATAAAATAGCGAAAAAACCATGTGAAATTTCCACTGTTATAAATCTGGTGGTTGAAGATGGCAGCAATTGCGACTTCATAGGTTTTGAAAGGTAAATGTTGTTTTACCAGATAGTGAAAGAATCAGGTCGATCTGAGCAGTGACCGCCGAGAACGAGGATTTTAAAAAATTAAGCGATTTTAGGTGACAGCTGACATAAATCTGGAATGTGAAAGTATGCAATGCTGCGACTTCATAGGCATAGGTTGGATTCTCCTCATCAAGAGCTTTCAGATGATTTATAATATGTGGGGGTTTTGCGCCTCTCACGGCATATGCCCGGGGGTGGAGACTTTTCACCCCAAAGTCTCCAATGGTGGTCTCCTGCCAATACATTAGATGGGCGAGGTGGAGACTTTGGGGTGAAAAGTCTCCACCCTGGGTTAGAGCCGCAAAAATCATTGAGCCCCCCACATATTATATATCATCTGAAATTTCTTGATGAGAAGAATCTAACATATGAAGTCGCAACATGATCCATGCAACTCTGAAGAAGTTATGAGCTGTTGAATTTCAAAAAGCGGTTTTCCACCTGTTTTTTTTTAAGAGCCTGAATCTCGGCGTTATCTTCATGGATTGGTACGGCTAAGACATAGTCCGATAGAGCAATTCTTACTCTATAAAACCTATGAAGTCGCAACATTGCATACTTTCACATTCCAGATTTATAGGAGCCTGAACGTCAGCTGTCACTAAGTAATCTAAAATCGCTTAATTTTTTAAAATCCTCGTTCTCGGCGACCACTCTTCACTTCAAACTGTTTTTTTCACTATCTGGTGGAACAACACTTGCTCTTTAAAATCTATGAAGTCGCAATTGCTGACATCTTCAAACGCAAGATTTATAAAAGTGGAAATTTCGCATAATTTATCGTTATTTTATTATTCAAAATTCTGGTTCTCGGCGGTTACTGCCTGGATCGACCTACTTCCTTCGCAGTGCGTTATAAAAAAATTTACTTGATAAAATCTGTGAAGTCTCGCTGACTCTCACTTCAAAACACACCATTTACTAAACACGTTTGTTTTAAATTTACATATATGCCGCCGTATACATAAAAATATGCTCTCAATAATCTTTTTTTGCGTTTGTTTTGCAGTCGACGTTAACGCTCCCCCCTCCCCGGTCGACGTTTTTGGGAGGTGAGTGTCCGGCACTACCACCTTCACTTTTGGTCGGCCAGTGGTAGCTGGAACCACCTTCACTTTTGGGGGGCCCGGCTCCACCTATCGCACCTCTGCTCATTATTGACATTCGTAATATGCAGCAGTCTTCTTGCAAGCTAAGTCGTTATTTCTTTACTTTCAATGAAGCCTGGGATTGAAGCATATGATGTTTCTGTTGCTATTCGTGTTTTGTGTAAAACTAACAACTTTCATTGTTTGTTTTTTTCTTTAAAACGCCTCGAGCGTATTTAATGAAAATGAAAAGTTAAAATCTACAGAAAGCATTGAGTTGCGAACTTACATGCCCGTTTGCAGAAAAGAAGTGAAAACCTCAGATCAACGCGAAACTCAGCTCAGATGAGCAATATGGCATGCAGGTTACAGTACTAACGCAAAATTCGCTTTCTAAGGTACTGCTGTAGACTTGCGGTAAATTGATAATTCCTAATCCTTGCATATTCCCGAAATTCACCACTCTTTCTCTCGGCTCTGAAGAAAAGCCTCTAAGTGGTTTTTCTATCTAGGATGTTATTTGGACACAGCTCTGCTGAAAAACACCCATTGAAACTTTTTGTGTGCAGTTGCGCTGCGATATGTTATGGTGAAAACACGTGCTCGGAAAATTATTATGTTTACTATACGCTGTTAAATCACGTAAGTGCTAAGTGACAACGTCAATTGTGCTCTACAGCATGACGTCATAATGAATATTAGCTACTGTGGAACAGGAAATGACCTTAAGATCACAACTTTCGATCTTGATAAAATGCATATCCAAAGCGTCTTGATAAGAATAGCTACCTTCCCTAGCTGCTGAACGAGTCTCTGAGAAAAGTTATGAGCGGTTGAAAGTATGAGTTACTGAGCTACGTCTGTATATTATTTTACAGATCCACTCGAAAGGCTTTAATGGGCATGATGTGCGTGTACTCACTACAAAGAGCAAAAATTTTATTAGATACATAATGAAGGGTCCCTTGTACCGCTAACTCTTGGTGTGACAATGATTGTTGGCGAAGTTTGCAGACGCCTATAACTTCCACTAGAGAGCTGTTTAGCAAATAAGGCATTTGATGACACCATTTCGTTTCAGATGGCCACTGCGACATGCGATCTTTTTGTTTAGAACGCAACACGTAAAAGCAACAATAAGCAACGTTTCGAACGCAATCAAAATCACCTTACATTGTAGATCCCTGCGCACTGTGCCTTGAGAATCAACCAAATGCAATTGCCGCAATAAGCGCATCAGAAATACCCTGAGTTGGACTTAGAACAAATCAATCAAAGGCCAAAGTGACTCTTTACAATACTCCAACAGTACGATGTGCCATGAGCAGCAAATCAATAGCGATGTTGCAGTCAGCACACTGACTAATGTACCCAAATCAAAACTGAGCGAAAACTTACTGCCTACCGTTAACCTATTCGTACCCCTTAGATGATTTTGGCACCTGCACCAGATGATGCGCCTCGCCGAGCTGAATCGAACGGTATCTCAGACTCAAAATTCGACCATTCTGAAGCGAGATATGGCGATGCGATGCGGATTCCGACGGACTCTAGTGATTTGCGGCGCACTCTGCTGCACTCTAGCGGACGCAGTCCGGCGACTATTTTGACGAATTATGAGCGGTATTGTATGTAGGTTCATGTGTGAGCAAGGTAGGAGTTTCCAGGACTTTTCTAGACGGAGATGCGATTTTTTTCGTTTTTTTTTAATCTTTAGTGCCTTATCAAATCCGGCTCCAAACTTCACGCAAATTAAACGTGGCGCAAAGATTCAAGCTGCATTTTGTAGAGCTTGCTCTGATCTATCGGTTGATACCCATTTACTTTCGTGCACACACTGCCGCGATATTGCATGATAAAACATGATGCGACATTATTTTCCGGACAAACTAATACATGTGATATAAAAACAGTCGGCAAATAAATTAATGGCTTGCGGATTGAAGCTGAGCTCAAGCTTAGATTGCGACTTCGTACGCACGTCCTTGGAGATTACTGCGGCCGCAGGTAATGCCATTGTTTGAACAATAAAAAAGATGTTCACATAATGATGACACCGATATTTTAGTCTTGAGCAGAATTGCGCGAATTTTTCACATAATGCTTTTCAAACTACTTTTTATCAACAATCATTTCTCTTAAAATGAATTTTCCAGACAATTACAGCACTCGATTCGCGTGATGTTCCTGATGTAGAACAACCATATCTTCCACGTATTCGTCATGGACATAACAAATTTTCGAAAAACAATATCGATGAACTTGAGACCAAATTACAGCAGGCGGGACTGCCTGACAATGTCAAGGTAAAAATGACATCCATTTGCTGCAGTTTTGTCAATTTTGATAAGTTTTTAGAATCGTGTTTGGGCTGAATTTGATCGCTTGAAATCGATGGGACAGAACAGTTCCGAACAGCATGTACTGACTTCTTACCTGGAACTAGTTGCTAGTCTTCCATGGAGTAAAAGCACTCCGGAGACCATTGACATCAAAAAGATGAGCGCTTATACTTGAACAGCCCCTCTCGTATGCAAACTGGTGTAATATTAATTTTTTAGGCAAGGGAACTTCTAGACTCTTCTCATAGCGGAATGGAGGGCGTGAAGAAACGGATCCTTGAATTTTTAGCTGTTAGAAAGCTGAGCAATTCGGTGAAAGCCGTTTTTTTCTTTTTTTTTGATTTTATCGTTTCCTGGGCTGCGTCCAGGATTGCCCGTGTCCGAGCGTTGTGCCATCGCCGTGCCAGTGCCCTCGTGGACACGCCCCGTTTAGATCGATCGACGGCGGTGGCACGCCCTGGCACAGTCACCTCGAAAAGCGCCCTCATACTTCATCGAGAATTGATGTGTCTTAATCTCGCTTTAACAATACTACTTTTGCTAAAAACGGAAAAGATTAGATTTTAGCGAAACTTTTTAATAGTGTTGGAAGTTTCGAATTCCAAAATCAATAATCGTTCATGGTGGGTTTTTCCTAGATCACCGGTCCAATACTCTGCTTTGGTGGTCCACCTGGCATAGGAAAAACGAGCATAGCAAAAGCTATAGCGCTCTCTCTTGGGCGCAACTTCGAGAGGTCCTTCAAAAAATGTTTTGACTGCAATTTACCACAAGCATTTTAGAATTTCCTTGGGAGGCATTCGGGATGAGAGCGATATCCGAGGTCATCGCCGAACTTACGTAGCAGCAATGTGCGGTCGAATCATTCAGGCCATGAAACATGCCGGGAGCAATAATCCTCTGATTCTTTTGGATGAAGTGGATAAGCTGGTGAGTCTGAGGATTTTTTGAAAAAGAGAGTTTTTTTCAACCTTTATCCTTCTTCTCCTCCTTTGAATCAAGGCCGTATGGTCGCGCAGGAAACGTGAGAAATCAAAATCATTTACAGAATTCGTCTTTGGCTCGTTGATTAGAAGGATTTAGGATTGGTGAAGGGCAGGTGCCTGTTGTATCTTCATGTTATATTGCAAACTCTCATTTTCTCTCATTATACAAAATACCCAGTCCTGTCTCACCCAGACCGTACTCTTTTCGAGCGGACCATTCAGCGTCCTGAGTACGGTAAGCTGTAGTCCACTCCGAAAATTTACCGTTTGTTTTATTCTACGAATAGATTAGAGACAAAGCTGAACTACTGAGAATCACCTAAGGTAGCTCGAAAAAGATTTTCGGTGAAGGGAATGGGGAAGTAGTGCCCGGACGAGGGGATGGTATGCGATTCTTCCAAAATTTAACCAAACAAACTAGCACAATTTTTTTTATTTGAGTAGGCCACTTTTAGAGATTTCGCGACCCATTCTCAGAGGTGGATACTCAAATTTACCTTACATTGTGCTCTATCGTTACAATCGGGGGCCAACAAATAAAAACGCCAAAAATTGAAACAAGACTTGAATTGCTTTGCTAAGGGTTGTTGATCTCAAGGTATTGATGTGAATTTACAGAATCATAGAAACACTACTCTTCTGTTGATAAGCCGGGCTCAAACTTCCCATTCTTCCAGTTCGCTGGTAATCATGGTTCTCCGTCTGCTGCACTGCTAGAAGTTCTTGATCCGGAACAAAACAATAGCTTTACCGACCAGTAAGTCAATGGCTTGTACATAAACCACTGTTCGAGCAGTCGCGTCTCTTGTGCTGCACATGGTGCATCACCGATTTGCTCCGCTATTTTAGATTTTATCGTTGCTTAGATGATACAAGAATTGTCACCACAAACGATGAGGTGCGATGTTTGTGACGATGTAAAAGTCGTGCCCTGGAATCACCCGTGCTACACATGGTGTGGCATGGTTGATCTTGTTTTAATAACTAAGCCATATCCCTGATAGAAAATATAGTTACTATGACTATTGCTTCAATAATTCAGCTACCTCAATCTTCCATTCGATCTCTCCAGCGTTCTATTTATCGCTACTGCCAATGATCTCTCAAAAATTGAAGGACCTCTTGCGGATAGAATGGAAGTAAAACATCTTCTTATCACTAGACAAATCTGTTATCCAAATGCACAATTCTAGATCATAGAAATGTCGGGATATTCGACAAACGAAAAAATGGAAATTGCCGAAAATCATCTCATTCCTCGTCAATTGCTACAGCATGGAATAAGTCCGGATCATCTACGGATAGAAAGAGATGCTATCAGGGTCATGGGTAAGAATATAGGCAGACTACCTTTAAATAGACTTTTCACAGGTCAATACTGTATGTTTGCGTTACAAACAACATTTGCGCGTAAACGATGACAATAGGACCACTACGACCATTTTTCACGCGCAAGTCACAAGCAAGTTGACTGCATTTACTACATGGCATTTGTTCACGCGCAAATGTTGTCGTCACCGCAAGTACATTATGAGATTGGTACAACAACTTTATTGGCTGACGTCGACGTTTTACGCCTTCTTCGGAGCCTGGAAAGACGAAGTCATAAGTGTCTATCTATTCAGACGTCAAATGCCAGGAACAAACAAACCCGAGGAGACTAGTCAAAGACATTATCAGAGCCACAAGAACACGTACTCACCTTAGACGCAGCACAACAACTAGCTGGGGGACACACCATCTTATGCAAAACTGTGCTTCCAACCTCTATTTATACGCCTGAGTGACCTGACCTCAGTCAAAACCACAGAGGCCTGATAAGGCGCGAGTTCGCTGGTGATTGCAAGGCACTCGTCTTTTTTGTTCATCGTAGGATTTTTCGCAGATCCAAAATGCTTCTAATGTTTTGCGTGCCAGGAGTCCGGGCTCAAACGATAACATCCTTACTGCAATCTGAATTTCAGAATTTTCATGACGGCTTATTCGATGTTGCCCCAGTGGTGTGGAGGGCTTGACTTATTTAGCCCATCTGGATGTTCTTTGATGCGAGCACAAGGGGGGCGCCCGGTCTCTCCGATTTAGGTGTCTCCACATGATAAGCATGTGATACGGTACATCACTCCTGCCACCATACAATCACACTCTCTGCTATATGAGCATATTAACTAAATATCTTGGTGCATTATTTGTCTGCACACCCACGCAAAACCAAAAATTCTATTGTTACAAGTATGTTTGGGATAGCAGCTCAAGTCTCATCTGGGAGCCAGGAGCGTGCCGTATCCTTGAGCAAGGCTTCCCAGATTGCCAAATCGGATGGCTACTCCGGTAGCTGCTCTGCCCAAAAACGCGGCTCTTTGGGCAGTAGGCTCAATCCACCTTCCGTGGCGGATAAGTTTCCTTTCTGCTTGCCGTTTGTTTCGGATGAACTTAGCAGGGCAGTATGGCGATGCGTACAACGCGCGGGTTTGTAGGAGGCCGTTAGAGTGGTCGATACACCACCCCCAGAGTTGAAACGCCGACTGGTTCGCAATCGTATATATGACCGCATTTTGACTCCAGGTTGTATAATATGCCCATATAGCAGCGAGGGTGATTGTATGGTGTCAGAAGTGATTTATTGTATCAATGTTCATCATGTGGAGACACTTACATCGGAGAGACCGGGCGCCCTCTTTGTGTTCGCATCAAAGAACATCTAGATGGGCTAATTAAGTCAAGGCCCTTCACACCACTGGGGCAACATCAAACAAGCCGTCGTGAAATCTCTGAAGTTCAGTTTGCAGTAAAGATCTTATCGTTTGAACCCGAACTCCTGGCACGCAAAACGTTAGAAGCATTTTGGACGAAAAATCCTGCCATGAACAAAAAGACGAGCGCTTTGCAATCACCAGCGAACTCGCGCCTTATCAGGCCCTCTGTGGTTTTGACTGAGGTTAGGTCACTCTGGCGTATGAATACAGGTTGGAGGCACAATTTTGATAAGGTGGTCTGTTCTTCACCTAGCTGTTGTACTGCATCTGAGGTGAGTATGTCTTTTTGTGGCTCTGATAATGTCTTTGACTAATCTCCTCGGGTTTGTTTGTTCCTGCCACTTGACGTCTAAATAGATAGACACTTATGACTTCGTCTTTCAGGCCCCGAAGAAGGCGTAGATCGCCGAAACGTCGACGTCAGCCAACAAAGTTGTTATACCAATCTTGGTCAAGCTGAGCAATTGTATCGAAAAGTGTTCAAAACAATGCCAAAATTAAAAAAAAACAACCGAACCTTCACCATACACTGTAAGAGCTTCAAATAAACTGAACTGTGCATTACGAATTTTCCCATAATTCCAGTGGAAGACTATACGCATGAGTCCGGAGTGCGACAACTGGAACGAGCAATCGCCGCGACTTGCCGATTTGTTGCGTTGCGAGTCGCGGAATATGCACGATATGAGAATGATGGCGATAGCATGATGCAGAATGAGCCAACTATTGTGACACCTAATGAGTGCCGAGAAATCTTGGGGGTGGGTATTCGAGATGATTTTCGGGCAAAAAAAACCAACTCCAACTTTTTTTTGAAGAAGGAACGCTTTTCATCGCTGGATCTTGTGGAACAAATGGGCAGATTCCAAGTCGGAACTTGCTTTGGCCTTGCCTGGACACCTTTCGGGGGAGAATTGATGGTTATAGGTCAGTATAGATAATCTGATCTGCTTCGTGAGATATTTACCCTCAGTGAAAATTTTGTTTAGAAGCTAACCGCTGCGATGGAAAAGGCAAAATTGTAATGACAGGAAAACTTGGTGATGTACTGCGAGAAAGCGTAGATGTTGCTAGAACTTGGATTCGTGCCAATGCTAAAAGGTAAAGGCGATTTATCGTACGCAGAGACAGGGCGCCAAGGCAAGCTCGCCGGCGTCTCTCAGCCTAAACGCACTCTCATTTCCGTAACTATCTGGTGTCTCTCACAAATACGAGCTGACTTATGGGACGGAATAGCGTTCAGTTTCTGCATGCAATGAAATGCATATATCTTCAGACGAGCACTGTCAGGTAGTAATTGTGCTTTTTTAGGTACAATGCCGATAACTTAGAAGGCTCAGACCTCCATGTACATCTACCGAGCGGAGCCGTTGGGAAAGATGGCCCATCGGCTGGTTGTGCTTTGGTTGCGGCCCTGTATTCCTTGGCAAGTGGGCGATTAATCAGAGCCGATACCGCGGTCACAGGAGAAATCAGTCTTACTGGGCATGTTCTTCCAGTAGGTAACACTCATCTAGCAATAAATTTCTAGGTAGGGAGAGCAACATAGTCAGTCATAGGCGAAGGAGACGGGGAAGGAGCAAGGTCCGGCACAGATCGAATGGAAGCAGGCTGGACTTCGTTTTTGGGGCAAATAGCAAAGGGATATCGTTTTCACGGAGTCCGGGGCGCAGTCCCGGAGAAAATTGTGTGCATGCATTGCTAGCGAAATATGTGGAGAAATTGTACTTATAGACAGTGTGCAAGACAATCCACACATTTCCCGTAGTGCCAAAAGCGACCTGCGTCAAGCACAAGCTTTGAAGACAGGTTATGCACGATGGATGTACTCCATCGTGTCTTGCGAAAAGCGCGCGCGATTTGAAATTAAAGCCGAAAACGACAAATTTCTTGTTTACAGTATAGAGGCGAGCATATGACATCAAATCTAAACTGTAAGCATAGCATATTATTTACAGAAGAATTGTGTAAAAGTTCTGAAAACTTAAGTAAAGTAATACCTTTTCCAAAATTGGTCAGTTTTCAGACAGTCACCAGAACGCCCGTAAAAGGGCTCGGGAGGAGTTGCAGGTGCGCTCTATTGCCATTTCGATCATAGCACCTCTTTTCAACTGGAGCGCACTATCTCTAAACACTTGTGCATCTGACAAGGAGTGTCACCGGTGATGAAAGGTTGCTGATATATGAATGTTGCACGTCTGCTAGTACGAGCCATGAGATTGACTGAGGAAGAGATGGCTATATGTTATGCGGTAAACTAGAGAAAGTTGTTGAAGTATGTAACGCAACAAGTTAGGCGCCATCTAAATCTACTTAACCGGCTGCGCGGGCGGTCGCGCGCGCGCCAAACTGCCAAACCAAGGGCTCGTTCGCTGCGCTGCTAGCATTGATGTTCGAGAAGTGTTGCAATATATGTCCGACACTTTTCCCTTCATGGTGATGGTCTTAGGGTTACTAACCTAACTTTGCTGCTGCTGGGAAGGAGTACCTTTTTCAGCTAGAGAGGCTGAGAAGACGCCTAATGCATCTCACATCGAAAACCTACCAAAATATGTTACTTTTTTTCTTAGATTGATGCTGAGCACGAAATAGGGTCAGCACTTCATTCGTGGTTGTTTTCATCGAGTGTACTACTCTAAGCAAATGGAAGTTATTTTCGTGATCGTCGACAATTTTGAATCACATGCATTGCAAATCGATCCTTTATGCGGTAAAACCTTTCTATAACCTCATTTGACCTAACTGTATCCCGGTCATCTAAAAAATGTTCTCTTGCATGGTGGCTACTGATAGAGTAGAGTGGAAAACTCGATATCTATTTAAACTGCCCAAAGCACCTAGGGGTCAGAACTTGAGTCTCCGTAGAGATACCTGCTATGCATTGTAAACTTGCGCAACTGATATTGTGTTACCTCGTTTTGGGTGGTTGATAATTTTAACCCAGAAAAAGCAAACTATCTATGCCAGATACACGTTGCTTTTGAATCTCCTAGTCTTCTAGTTATTTATATCTTAATGTAACTCTGTTTGAACAAGAAAATGCGAAGTCAGATCCAACATTCGTATCGCTCTACACATTGATATATTCACCTAATTGTCAGTGAAAGTTGTAACACGCTGGACTAGATCTGGGTGACGAGCTCATCTCGAATACGGTCGTAACAACTCAACAGCATTTAAAATTAGCTTCGAAAAATTGCCATGGGAAGAAAAGTTCTCTTATGGGCAAAACTTTTGGTTCTATTCAGTCGAAAAACATCGTGCCGTATGTTGTGTCGAGCAGAGACTGTCAAATCATCGCATACTTCTATTTTGCGTGAGAGCTTGCTTTCGTTAGCAAACTGAGCTTCAAACTATGCAGTCAATATCAAGTATGATCGGCTCCCAGATTCGTGTGGAGGTGTATTGCAGACTTTGCCTGATAACACATGTAAACTTGCTAAACCTCCACATCATAGTATTGCTTTTCGTAATCTCTCGCTAGCAAAAACCGCCACGCGGTGAGTTGGCAAACTCCACCTCCACACGAATCTGGAAGCCGATGATATGTCTTATGAATAAGATTGAAGAATGTATACATATATCTACTGGAAAAGGAACTTTCAACATTATCACCGGAAGGCAATCAAAATGTATGCCCATGCTAGGCTAGATATGGGTGACGAGATAAACCACTATATAATACGCGCAAACTCTAAAGTGACTGCAACACAGTGCTTTGGCAAGCACCGAAATGGCGCAAGCAGTTGACAGTAAAGCAGTAAGCATGAACCTATGGAGCACACTGATCATTGTGTGCTGAAGCAAAAATTCACTCCATATGGCACAGCTCTTCAAACTGGCAGCATTGACAGCAAGCGAGCCTTTGGTCCCCGCACGCAATGATGGCGCGCACGCGACCGCCCGCGCAGCCGGTTAAGTAGATTTAGATGGCGCCAACAAGTTACACCAGTGTGATTAGTCACTGTTACGATTGCTTCCTCTTTTAACATCATCCTCCAACACTTTACAGTGACGCCATTTCTATATATGGCTATGGGTACACGTACATATTTTACATCAAATTCGTCTGTAAAACGTTATGTTGAAGAGCTAATGTTTCTTCTGGTATGATCGATTGTCCCACGCACAGTTTTGGACTTTCAATTTGAACTCCATAAAAGTAAGTGATTCCATTGTACGTTACATTTTATTGTTCGTTTCCACACTTATTATGATCAAGCTGGCATTGGATATGTCCTGCACTTAATCGAAGAATTGCTTTCGTGAAATTCTTATGTATAGCTGCTTTGTTTGTGGAGCTATACTTGTCGAGCTGTTACACCTAGCATCGTTCGCCAAAGTTGGCTCAGAGTTCACATATAACTTGAAGAAGGTCATTTGTCCAGTCTTCAATTCAAAGCGTAGCTGCACAATGATTTGACGCTTGAACAGGCGTTAGTTTCAATGCATTTTACAAGAAGGGATTACCTAGTATTCCCTTCGACGAAAATATGTTACTGTACTCAATTCTAGACTGGTGGGCGAGACGCATCCAGGGAAAATTGCTATATAGTGCTTAGCACTCTACGAAAGCAACGTTATCAATAAGGATCAGATTTTGTGCTTCAAAAGTAGCCGAGAACTCGTTTCTGCTCACAATTTCTGCTCAGGGTACAACCAGATTCAAGTAATCTTCTATATTGTGCGATTTCCTTCTTCCACAACTTACCAATCAACTTACCTTGTATCGTTTGCACATTACCTTTGATGTTCATCAGTAGAATTCGCTGATGGTGAACGAAACACCTAGCTTCATCGAGAAAGACAATCGAGAGAACAGCATACGATCCCTACCAAATGCTAACATGCATATGGAGATCGAACACATTTTCGTGTAAACAACCAGAAAAAGAAACTGTATAAGCATAATAGGATTGAACCCGATGCCCAGTAGCGCTTCATATGATGACAGTGTTCGGTAACTTCCTCTCTATCACCGCGAGACAGCAATGCCGTCTCATTTTCAGTCCTCCTGAGTTTAGTGAGAGTTATGCATTCCAATAATACATCAACATCCTTTCATACTGATGATATACAATATATAATATGGATATATTTGCCCCAAGCTTTGCTTCTCTGCAAGCAAGATGTTCATGAAGCGAAAAGTCTCCTACTCGGAAGAGCACAAACGAATCAGGAAAACCATTTAACAACAGCGGATTAGTTTTTGACTCTCTGACTATGTACGTTAACATTCCAAATTTTCACACGGATGCAAAAGAAAAGACACTTACTCATCGCCATACCTATATACGAACGGCGTCAAATGTGTCAAACGTGAAGTTGGAGATAGTGCGCTTCAGTTGAAAAGAGGTGCTCTAATCGAAATGGCGATGGAGCGCACCTGCAACTCCTCCCAGTCCCGAGCCCTTTTACGGGCGTTCCAGTCACCAGACGATCTAAGATCGTTGGAGCATATATTTTTGTAAATTCACATATGTTTTGGATTTTTCTATCATGGACGGATTTCGCCGTCAAAAATCTATCCCTGAACATGAAGAAATTTTCATATCGTTGCCTTTCATTTGTTTTTGCATCACTTTCTCCATAAATCGTTCCTTAGACATCGCGAACGCCCATAATCGGCCGCGGAGCTGTGAGAGGGGGGGGGGACTGAGTTGCGCCCCAGTGCAAATCGATTGCAGCACGTTATTTCCTTGATTCGCGCACTTGGCATGCAAAGGATATGGAGACTCCAATAAGACATGTTCTTGCTTTTACTCCACATAAGATTTCTAGTACCGTCTCAGTTATTGACTATAGTCAGTAACTTAAGAAGTTTTGTGACAAGTTTACATCTTGAGCTCGAGCGAATCATGACACTTTGCATTTTTAGTTAGTGCTGGTAACGCTGGTAAGTTCTTGAGGAGCTGGCTACTTTTTTACATAACTTTCACTCGTAAAAGCGCAGTCTAGAGGCAAAAGGCATGAGAGCGCCGAGAAGAGCGCGCTTGTACATGGGTCAAAGAAAACGCTGCGATTCGAGCCTGGTTTATGGCTTTCAACATTCAGTCCCAGTTCGGCATCAGTCCCGCAGTTGATCCGAGAAATCAAGATGGAACAGATGTTGCGATGCTGTAAAAATAAGTTTCTGGTGAATATTTATCTTGCAAAATATCTGTATGGTGTGACTTTATAAATGTCGCTTCAAAAAAGCTTTTGAAGACCATGCTCAACGAGTACAGAATGACATCCTTGAATTAAGCGAGTACCTAGTACAGAATCGAACAAAAACATTTAGGAATTCGACCCGGTTCCTACTCAGACAGTGGGACCGGACGAGCCGCGGCCCCAAAAGGCGTTTCCGGCCCGCCCGCCGCCTTAACACGTTTCGGACCGGTGCTGCACATGGTGCAGCACGCTGCTTTGAGGGATCTTTCTGGCGTTTGCAGAAGGTTTCCTTTTAGTCTGAAGTTGTTAAGTTAAAGGTTTAACCTCCTACTTTTCAAATGACTCTGTATAGTTGTGCCGCCGATATTTGTTTAGGAGATATGAGCACAAATCGAACAACAGTTGCAACGAAGTGCGGCGACGCGAACGACGCGTGCGACTTCGCAACTTTCCTTTGCTTTGATATCAAGGAGAATAACCGTAGTTTTGATACTGATGTGTACCGTGTCCAACATAGATACTTTTGAATACTATTAGAATCTGAGTTCTTGTTCCTATCTTTCAAGAAAGCACAGAAGTCCCTCTCAAGCGACAAAATTCAAACACTGCGATTTCACTCAGAACTTTGGATATGGAGCTTATCTGACATGCTGATTACAAATGTGGCCCATAGGCTGCGAAATAAGGTCCCTTTGTAGGCTAACGGCTAAAAGTACACTCTTTTTCGCCGCGCGCGATTTCGCGGTCCGAAACGTGTTAATTTGGGGGCGTGGGCGGAGTGTGGCCGACCCGGGGCCCTTCGTTCGTGTCATCATCATTGCAACAGCCGAGCTGCGGGAGGAAATAGGCTCACCGGCTCAGCCGCGGCCTTAGTGATGGGGCGGAGTATTGCAGCGGCTGAGCCACGGACCAAATTTTGGGTAAGGAACTCCGGCCGAGCCGCGGCTCGGCCGGTCCAGTGTGCGAGCGTAGAGGATATTTGCGTGATGTACGACGCATGGTCAGGCTGCCCTCAATGCCTATAGCCTCATGTCTTTTCAGTCTCTCAGTCAAGAACAAGATCGACATATTGTCTTATGAATAACCTTCGATAGCAGCTCGAAGTTATCCAAATTGAATGAACTTGGCTCCCAAAGCTGTTATAATTATATTGTTGGCATGTTTCCGACTTTTCTGGTAGCTAGTCAGCCATTTCAAAATAAGATAGCTAACTGAGCAAGGATCCCCATCAGAACTTCCTCACGGAGATTTATAAATCATCAAATCTGCTGTGTGGCTAGTGCCAGCACATGCTGTTGCTCAGCGCAATATAGATAGGACCCCTAGGTCAAAAAAGTTCGTCTCCTGCGTTGCAAATTGGACCCGGTCACCGTCCGGCAATAGTTATGACGTTTGTAGTTGAGGCTTCCCTATTGCAGATTCTGACAAAAGTTCTACCCTAGTGACAACTGCGTGCCTCAGGCTGCGTTCATACTGATCCCGAAGTTCGGGAACAGTTCCAGCAAGCCCTCAAAATGAGCGTTGTGCTGGGACTGTTCCCGGATTACGTAATCAGTATGAACGCAGCCTCGCAACATTGAGCATGCCGGTCCTGCAGGCCAGTGACACCTGCGGTACTGGCGTGATCAATTTTTTTGCTCTATTCTAAGATCACCCTTTTGGTATACACCAAGCTGGTACCACAACGGGTACAACTGTTTATTAGATAGTAGCGGAGCAGCCGCTGACTATTAGCAGTGAATTTGCGGGACAGCCGCTGACGATAATGGTAATAATCGAACCAACACCAGAACTGAGTATTCAGGCCCTTTTATGTATTTTGGGCGTGGATAACCTGAATGCACTTCTGGCAAGTAACAGTATCATACAGAATCAAGGATTGCCTACATGAAAGTAGGCGCCGCCAAGTAGACTATCAAGCACAGTGGAGGGGTGACCTGGCGGCTTAAGTGGTCAGTGAACAGCAATGTCTGTCAACGACAAGCTAGTGGATACTGAATATAGCATACAATATGACTCTACAATAGTAAAGGTCGTAGATTCACAAATAATCTACGACAACCCTTGAAGATTTTACTCCGAATTCCAAAGAAAATGTAGAAAAAATATGTTATTACGCAGTCCTAGGTTATGAGATTTTGAAGTGGCAACTGCCATTGAACGAGCTCAAATGGTACGTCAGATGTATGATAAAGAAAGACTATCTGAAAACATGATGTAGGCCTCGCAACAACGACGACTCTACAACGCTACAGTACAACCGTCTTTTTTGAGGAGGGGGTGATCCATACCTGACCTTATGTAACTTAAAGCGATGCTATATAAGGCTGCGACGAAAGCAGCAATTCTGCTTCTATGATCTCTGAAGAGTGAACAAGACTGTTGAGGCGAATAACAGTCATCAATAGTCGAAGCTTTTCTATATAAAATGATCAAAACAAACTGAAGTCTGCTACAATATGCACATTCCGAAGTGATTACTTAGTCATCAACCTCATTGCGCTGTATTGTTGCCGCACAACAATACAGACAATAAGGTAAGTTACTATGAAGGACTGCTATGCCCAGATACTCCAAGTGCACAAAGGATGACATGCTCCAATCGATTTGCACTGGGGCGCAACTCAGTTCCTCCTCCCCCCCCCCCCCAGTTCCGCGGGGCTGCATGTCAGGACGTACGCCGCGCGCGGCGGCCGCTCGTCCGCACACGCCACGCTCAAATCTTGGGGCTTTAAGACTCCCCGCCAATAGAGATTCCGGCGGCAAAAACAGGGGGGTGAGGGTGGGGGCAGACACATGACTTGGTGCTATAAGTAAGACTGCGCCAGAAGTGCTGCTGTTGTAAGGGCTGAAGTATGTTGCGGCGTCGCTTCGCGAAAAATTCGCGCCGATCGTACCTCCTGACCTCCCCCGTTCCGCGGCCGATTATGGGCGTTCAGACATCGTGCCTCAATGCCAAACTCTTGTGCATGCGTAGTATTCAGCTCCACTTTGGATTTTCACTCTTACCTCACGTTTTTTCTTTCAAACTAGTAACTTTTCTAGTTTTCATCAACTCCTAAGCCGGTAGGTCAACGGGAACTTCGTAAACTTCCAAAAGTCAGAGGAGACTTCGTTTTCAAAAACCCTAGAAACAGACCCGTGCCAGGACCTGGGAATGAGGGGACGGGGGGAAGGGTAAGGCAATGCTCTAATAAGTTTCATTGACCAGACTATTCGTTTGGCTACAAATTATGCGCTGAGTGCGCTGAAGTGACTTCGGAATAGCACTATTGCTCAGCAGTTGCTAGTATGCATGCCTCATTGCCGTATCGTCACCGTATTACCAATGCTAAAGTTACCAACTAAATTCTAGTTTTGTGATAACTTAATGCAGTACAATAGGAAGGCCCTTCAAATTTCACAAGTATCAGTGCTAAAGTGCATTTCGAAGCCAAAAAACTGTTTCAGAATATGGCTAAGGGATCGCCACGCTCATCAACTTCGGTGGCCCAAGGTGAAGAGCCTGAAATCAGACGCAATACTACTCAAAAACGTCAAAAATCCGACTTTTATCATGAACAGCAACTTTTGACATTTCTAGATATTCTGATTCCACATTCTGCACTCTCCAGACCACTGTTGATGGGTGTGGCGACCTCAAGAGCATATGGCTGGAACTATTTTCTCGCTTTAGAATGCAGCTTTTGCAGCGAGTTGGGCAAGTACTTCTTCACGAATCTTGCTAGGTTGGATTACAACCTCATCAATCCAGATTTGGATTGACGGCGTAACCTGTTCGAAACTTCTAGGTGGGCGGAATCAAAGAAAAAGTGCTTGGCGCGCATCGTGCTGGTCTTCGTCGGGTAATTCTTCCTCTATCTAACAGAGGTGATGTGGATGTCATCGACAAAACTATAAAGGTAAGCGATAATCTTCAGAACCAAGATGCTTAGTATCCCGCTTTCATCAGATGGAAATGGACATACAATTCACATCTGATATTGATGATTTACTTCAAAAGGTTATGGAAAACGACAAAACAGACATCTTATTGTCAAAGTTATAAATATGTCATGTATAAAAATTTATTTGACTATACTTGATCATTTTACTCAGCATTCGAAAGTTTCCTAAAAGGTTTTGGGGATGAAGAAGAATGGATGAGTAGGAACTCGTATGTTTGCTGCTTCAAGGTGAAAAAAAAACAGCTAACACCGTATACAACTGTAGATTATTCATGGGTGTCATACATTTACACGGAATAACTAGCTCCTATAGTCCTGAGTTATTTTGCTTTCGCTTCCTCAAGTGCCTTCATCCGACCTTTCTGCTCTTTATGGTATAAGAAGTAATCCATCTCTTCATGGAGTAACCGAGGAGTGGCATGTGTCCATTTCTGCAAATGTGAAAATCAAATGAGCTCTCATAAGTGCGCTCAGTTAAACTGAATTTTTCAAGCTTCCAAAATTGATGTTATTCTCTCCCTAGAAAAGTCTACCTTGTATAAACAAAAATAGAGATGTCGCAGCTGAATTTCGTATGACCTTTAAATTCTCTGAAAAATTGTAAATTCGAGGCCTCATGTTATTGAAGCGATTATCAGGGTCAAGCGTGGGATGTGGCATTCCACACCTGGGGGTCGCATTGAGGAATCAGGGAGGGGGGTCGTTATCAAGGCGTCTGCTGTTCGCATAACATGGTATTCGTTAACAATGTCAAGTAGGCCCGTCATGCAAAATACTAGCACATTGATGTTTGACCCATTATCGTATACGTACAGTAAGCATAATTATCCATGCTATCATATAAAGCGCTAGCACCCCCATGTGAGTCAGCATTGGTGTGTGTATGTTCCGGTGTTGTTTACCACTAATGGCAACGCGCCCGGCAGCCAAGATGAGTCGCGCTGATGACGTCATACAATGCTGCCTCCAGAGTTTTCGGCTATGCTCTTTCAGCGATGTTTACAAGTTGGCACCAATAGCAGCGAAAATAACACCACTTGAACTGTCACGACTGAATTGATTGAACTCTTCCACCGACTGTAATAGCTTCACTTTGAAAGTCATCAAGGGTTGGTCCAACGTTTGTACATTATCTCGGGTGGCGGTCAAGATGAACGATAGCATGTGCCAGCCGCCAGCTGGGTACCGTACGCGGTGCGCTGATCGCTCCGCCCCCTTGTTAATTAGCCTAGGAATGCGCTGCAACTATTGGAAAACTCTCTAATACTTCGTTCATGCCTCTTCAGTTGGTTGCAATCTGGATAACAGTAGATTTCAAAATTTCAATTAAATTGAAAATCAGTTTTTAGATCATTTTTCATTATAATAGGTTCGCAAGCTCTTTCTAATGTGATTCGATTATTTGTTCCTTGTAGGCTTGTCAAAAATGGTTTTTCATTGCAGTTATGAGGAAATTGTTTTGAAAATGCTTGTGTGTTTATGAAAAGTGTTTTTCTCTATTCACATCTGTTACCATATTGTATATAGCTTTTTGTTCACTCTCAATTAGTTCAAAAAGAAGTCAGCTTATCGAGAATGCTGAAATGACCAAAACCATTATCTCTTTTATCGGAAAAGTAAGTTCTAAAACCCTAATCATAGCTAAAAACAGATTTCGTGACGAGAATTCAAAACAAGCGTTATAGGCGAGTTTTGTTTCAAGCAAACTAATTCGTTTTGCAAATATGCGGTCCTATCACACAAATTTTCAGATTTCAGGAAAATCATACTGCTTATAAATTTTCGAATCTGCTTTAAATATCAAAATTCTTTTATTTTGCTTCTAAAAACTGCTATCCTCGATATAAATCGATCTGTAACTCAATCGAAATTGCGCGCGAACTAGTCGTAAGATGTGAGGTCACTCAAACAATCATGCCTGAGGTGTTCTAGATTGATTTCACACTTCAAAGTTGGATATCCAGGAGTCACTCGGTCATTCATAGGTAAATCAGCAAACCTCTCGCATTTCACGACCAACACATCAGCTGTGCACAAAACAAGACTCTGTAAATAGTCAAGCTTCACCCCAGCTTGCAACAAGCTTATATCTCACTATCAAAAGTTATTTTCACTTGGCGGTTTTGTCCGAGAAACTCGTCCGCCGCAGTAGGGCGGAGCTTCGAGCGAACACGTTATTGCCAGTTCATGATCCCGCGCGCCACTGGTACCAGCTATCGTTCATCTTGACATATACCCCATTATCTCACCGCCATTACGTTCTTTTTTTGGCATCTCGCTTCTCTTTTTCTATTATGGAGCATTTGGATTGAAGTGCAGCACAAGTTTTTCGAAAAAAGCAAGGTATTTTAGCAAAATACTGCAGTCTTCCATAGTTCATTTCTCGAGTGCTTAGTATGCTCGCTCACCGTAACTCACCGTCAAACAGTTGCGCCAAACCTTCAATCTTCTGTTCTCCTTTTTCTGCTAACATATAAGCTCCTGCAAGACGAAGGCGGTCGGTTCGATGTGCAACGCGGCTGCGACATGGCTGCGTCACAGCAGCGTCACAGCCGCGTCACAGCCACGTCGCGCCTCGAACCAACCGCCTTCGTCTTGCAGGAGCTTATATCTCAGCAAGAAGAAGTTCTCAATGAAGTGCTTAGTGAACGTTGTTATCCCACATAAACTGCACTAAATCTGTTTTTGGAGGTTTCTTGCAAACTTTATTTTGGACATTCTCTGTCTACGATTTTTTTTCTATATGAGTACTTTTTTGAAATGCCTTCACCACGCAGTTCTTTAGACGGCTTTTCTCAATCTACATCCACATTTGTACGAAGCACTATCTTTCCAGACAAATACAGCGTAATCATGGAAATTATCTTGAAACTCGATAAAAGCTGGATGCAAAAGCCTTCTTCAGCTAGAAAATACTGAACTCTAAAGAAACCACTTACAAATTCCCGAGTTTTGCTTCAAACATCAAAAATTCGTGGAGTAATTAGAAGAAAGTCAATGCGATCGTAACTGATTTTATTAGGACTAGTGCTGTATGAATCTGTCGTTAGTATCTCAGCTACGAATAAGAGACAAGGTGGCATGCAAGTTGGTTTTACGTAAACTAAAGCTTTACTAAACTACAGCACAGCTTTGTCGAATTATTGCACAACTTCAAAATTGTATAAGGAACGAGATCTGCCTAGGTGAGCAGCTAGAAGTATAAGCACCTTTTAGTAGGTCCCTTCTGAAATTTGAACTTGCTCAATAAGATACTCCGAAAATTGAGTGGATTTTGGAGCCTACGGATGAATGGCAAGGATGCTGGACAGTTTGGGAACCTCATAAAACGCGAACGAGTCTTGACAGTAAAATTCCTTGAAGTAGAAGAGAAATTTTGACTTTCTCAAAAAGAATACTTTTGAAGAGATAGAGTGTTCAAATTCGAAAAACCTAGATTTGGTGGTTCCTATGTCAGCTATATATTTTCAAGAATATAGAGAGTGAATATCAATTCGAAAATCCAATTTCGGAAAGAGATAAAAATAGACTGATTAAAACTTTTGGGTGGAGGTTCTAAGGCAGTTTGCAGGGTCACTCAATGTGGGAAACAGGGCCCGGGTGGGAAGAGTGCACATGTCTGAGATTGCTTTGTTGGATTTAAGACGCGCTTCAGTCACAAAAATTTTTTACTTGGGTTTTTTAACGTGTGGAAGTTTGGGAACATCCGAGAATGTAGAATGGAGAACTCAGGCTAAGTCTGTCTCAATCGTGATCAGGCTGAACATTTCCAATAAGGCAGATTTAAGGGCAACTTTTAAAGCGTGAGTTATAACTGAAGAGTGTGAGAATGCGAGAAGAATCGGTACTTCAGAAAACTTGATTAAGAAGCTACTGGGTGAAAAGGAGTGGAGGAGGGGGGGGGGATCCTCGAAAGGCTAAGATAGCAAAACGCAGATTATACTATTATATTATTAAGATTCGATATCTGTAATTAAGTATCTGTAAATTCGAGTCTTTGCGACCAAAGGAAGTGGCGGTGTGGTTAGAAAAGAAGCTGGGAGAGGAGCAATCATGATTATGTTGCCAATTTTGATAAAAAAATTTTTCGGAACTTTCGAAAGCAGGGAAGATCAGTGATTTTGACAACTTCTGGGGCCGTTACTGTTCAAACGTACGAGCATCGTTTTGCAACTAGCAAGTAAAGTAACCCCTGTGGTCCAAGTTTCAGCGTCTGAGGTTTCCAAATACAGGACCACCCAAGTGAGATGGTCGTTTTAAATACGTTATTTTGTTTCAAAGGTAAGTTGACTATTTCTTTCTGCGCTTAATACAAAAAAACTAATACTTCTTTCACATTAGGAATCCTACTTCAAATGACCTCCAAATTAAGAAATCAAGAGAAGCCAAAATCTCGTTTGTTCCATTTTTCGTTTTCAATATCTCAGGCTGGAGAAAACCAATCAGGCTCAAATCACTTCAATGTACCATCGTCTCCCCGATTGCTGCGAGGGCGGTCGCGATGGTCAACCGATAATCAATTTATCAGCTATGTTTCAACACTGGACAATCGCATCGCTGATACGCTCGCCCGAGCCTGCCCTCGCGGCAATTGGGGAGTCGATGGTAGATTACTGTCGCCTTCCCTTGCGATTCACATAGTAGCGCAGATTTAGCATGTTACCGTATCCCAATATTTTCGCAGTATTTAACCAGTATTTTACTCGCCTTCCCTTGCGATTCACATAGTAGCGCAGATTTAGCATGTTACCGTATCCCAATATTTTCGCATATTTGACCAGTATTTTACATTTGCATAGGTAAGGAAAAACGATTATATTTCGCTTGAAGAAACGTTTTCATATGAAATTTCTGCTATGTAAGGAAGAAGGTTAAGCAGTAACAACGATATAAAAAACCCAGCTATTTGATCTATTTGAAGGTAAGTTAATAGGGTGTGGCACCACCACCCTTGCGGCAGCCACAGCTTTTTAGGGCTGAAAATCTTGAAACTTCAGAATTCGCTCAAACATAGTCTACAGGGGTTAATTGACATGCTAATTATGGATATGTTGCCCATTATGTTTGACAGGGCCTTCAAGTAATGCTATCTCGGGTATATAGTTCAGAAGGTCTTATTGAGACCAATAAAAGGGGGGAGGGGGGTCGTAATCAGCGATTTTGTGCCACACCTCTTGCTTGTCCCTGGCAATAATCTCTACTGGCAAACTGAGAGGACAAGACGCCTTCATCCCGCGCAACTCCTTATACCTGTGAGGTGCCTTGTCCTTTTCATTTCAAACGTCTTCAGTTTCCAATACATCTAGCATTTGCTTTGATTGTAAGCGAATCACAAGACAGTCATTGAAAATTGCAGGAACCAATTTAGGTCCGTATGCACGTATATCCCCGCTGGGGAGGGGATGCGTCATACCTCGCTACTCTAGACATC